CTAGATTAATTTAGGAGCTTTTTATTGTAATAAAATGCCTTTTGAATGACACAGATTTTTATGTTGGCTAGGGAATGACAGCAAGTACTGTGATGTGATCTTTCTAGGGTGTTAACTGTAAAACAGTAAGTAGTATTTTTCTGTTGTATTTCTTAAATTTGTTCATGGATTTTTGTGACAATACTTTGATGCATAAGAGTGTTGAATTACGCTTCTCTAACAATGTTTTTTTGGTCAGTATATATACAATAAATGTCCTGCTGCATGTACATTTTGTTTAGCTGTACATTGAATAGCAAATGTTATTAATTTACTATGAGCATTTTTACATTCTAGACGTGATTTGAGCTATCTTTAATTAATCCTGTATGTATGGTTCGTTTCATGGAGACAGGAATGTCTTAGCTAAGGCTAATTCCAACCTAATCTTCGACTGCATAAAGAAAAAATTTGACCACCATTTTATGTGACACCCTGGATAATTATGATCATTTAGTAGTATTTTTGTGATAAAGTGACTTTTGGCTAACATGATGTTTTTTTTAACTTAATTTTGCTTAAATGCTTTTATCTGTTATTCTTTTTCAGATGGATAAATGTGTGAAAACCAAACTAAAAGAATGGAATCTTAAAGAGTTAATCCCCACATTTAAAGGTATGTAATAATATTTTACTTGGTTCATTGTAATCATAGGGCTGCCCTTGTCTAAACGTTTGGCTGGTTGACTTGTGATGTTCATTTGAAGCATTAGTTGAATAATTACTGATTTATTAATAAACCATTTATTCGTTCATTCATTTTCTTTTTGGCTTAGTCCCTTTATTAATCTGGGGTCGCCACAGCGGAATGAACCGCCAACTTATTCAGCATATTTTTTACGCAGCGGAAACATGCAGCATACATTGACTTCGCCTGTGTGGACTTTTTTTCTGCAACTAATAAATTTTGGGGTGCATGGTGACGCAGTGGGTAGCACGTTCGCCTCACAGCAACAAGGCCGCTGGATCGATCCTTGGCTGGGTCAATAGGCGTTTCTGTGTGGAGTTTGCATGTTCTCCCCTTGTTCGCGTGGGTTTCCTCCGGGTGCCCCGGTTTCGAAAGACATGTGGTAAATTGAATTGGGTAGGATAAATTGTGTATGTGTGTGAATGAGTGATTGTTTCCCAGTGATGGGTTGCAGCTGGAAGGGCATCCGCTGCGTTAATCTTATGCTGGATATGTTGGTGGTTCATTCCATTGTGGTGACCCCAGATTGATAAAGGGACTAAGCCGAAAAGAAAATGAATGAATGAATGAATAGTACATTTTGGTTGACTAATGGTTATTCAATTATTAGGGGGCATCCCTAGTAATCATTAGCCACTTCAGCACTTTAAACTGAGAGATTAAATACAAATTTGTCTTTGTCTGGTTAACTTTTAAAATCTGCTGTTCATGCAACCAGTGGCATTCTCTTGTTTTATTTTTAGCACAGGAGCGAACCTTTCCTCGTTTTTAGGTCAATTTGAACACAATTCAGAGGGTAACAATTCAATTAAAGGTTTCTTGATGCATAATGATGCATTTAATGCATAATGCTCGTCTTACAATTATTTTATTAACTATGAAAATCTTATTTTTATGTTTGTTATTAGGGTGGCATGGGGCACAGTGGGTAGTGCTGTCGCCTCACAGCAAGAAGGTCGCTGGTTCGAGCCTCGGATGGGTCCTCCCCCACAGTCCAATGACATGCGGTGTAGGTGAATTGGGTAAGCTAAATTGTCCATAGTGTGTGTGTGAATGAGAGTGTATGGTTGTTGCCTGGTGATGGGTTGCAGCTGGAAGGGCATCTGCTGGGTAAAACATAAAAATATGATGGTTTTGTGAAAGTTGTGATTTGGTCACAGCTATGGTTTCTCAAATTTTTAGTGATAAGATGCTTTATATAGATAGTGAATGCAACAAACTCTATATGGCCTGTAAGCCAATTATTTCCACCAAAGGAGAAGTCCACTTCCAACAAAAAGATTCACACATAATGTACTCACCCCCTTGTCACCCAAGAATGTCCTCTCTTTCTTTCTTCAGTCAGAAAGAAATTGTTTTTTTTTATATAGGAAAATATTTCAGCATTTTTCTCCATCTTCATGGACTGAGATTGTGCCTCATTTCTGACTTTTTAAAGAAAATTTAAATTTGGCTTCAAATGATTCCAAATGTGGTTGCAAACGGTCCCAGCTGAGGAAGAAGGGTCTTATCTGTTTTCATTCAGAAAACACAATTAAAATACTTAATCATTTCAAATGCTCATCTTGCCTTACTATTACTTATTTAAAAAAGTTCCTTAGGCAACCCTGTTGTTGCATTAAGTCATCTTCACTTGGGCCAAACAGTTGCAGCATAGTGCCAGGGTCAGTGGTTAACTAATGCCAACACTGGCTGATAGCTTGATGTGTTATGGCCTTAATAGCTTCTAAAGGTATTTTAGGGATTCTAAAGTTAACTCTAAAGATATTTAACTTTAACACTTTTGAGTTTTTAATGAATCTTGATTAATTCTATTTATTTTTTCAGATTGGGACCAAAATTGCTAAGTATCTTCGTCCATTGAATTCAAGAATCTATTGAGTTTCTTATGTTCTCGTGCTTGGAGACCACCACTTCTTTCAAGCCTTTGCTCACGTGCTGTGCCATTTATTATTGCAAAGTAAATTACTTGCTAAAGTGGACGTTTGCTTTAAAGCATTCTACATCTTTGGTGTGAACTAACCCAAGCAGTGTTCCCTGGTGTGGTTTTTGTACATCCTGGGGAGGAGGCACTAGCAGTGAGGGTTCTGCTAGTATTAATTTTTGCTGACAAACAGAAATCATTAATACTTTGACCTTACTGCTTCCTTGGATTCTGTGTTCTTCAACTTGTACTTTGGACTGTGGGGGAAAAGGAGCACCCGGAGAACACCCACGCGAACAATGGGAGAACATGCAAACTCCACACAGAAATACCAACTGACTCAGCTGAGGCTTAAACCACCGACCTTGTTGCTGTGAGGCAATCGTGCTAAACACTGCGCCACCATGAAACCCATTTCTAAAGAATAGTTTTAATAACTCATTTCTAATAACTGATTTCTTTTCTCTTTGCCATGATGACGGCACATAATAATAGACTAGATATTTTTTAAGACACTCTACACTGCAGTTACATTGCAGCTAATGTTTCTTACAGACTCTTTTAAATCTCAGGATTGATGTTTGTACATGATTGTTCAAGTAAAAGTTGTGAAATGTTTTGCTGTTTTAAATTTGTTTTTAAATGCTTCCATCCTCAGGTTTCATTTTTACTTTTATATCTGTTTTTTCTTACAAACTGCGTTTACATTGAACTTGATCATCCTTACTGATGATTGCTTTATATCTTATATATTGATGTTTGCACATAATTGTTAAAGGGAAAGTTATAAAATGTTTTCTTAATTTTTCTTAATATTAAATTTGTATTTTCTTAGTTTTTATTGTTTGTTTTGTTTTTTTTCAGTCTGTTTGATGCCTTTTCATTAATACTCTCACATATTTTTTTCTACATTGCAGTTGATGATTTATATGAGACTATGTTGATGTTTGTGCTCAAATTTGTATTTTGAAGTTACTTTCTGACTTCAGTCATTTAGATGCATTTTCATTATTACTTCTTCATACTTTGTTTTTCTCTCCTCTGCAATAACATTGCAATTGATTCTTACTGATGATTCCTGATTTATACATGATGCAAATGTTTTTGAATGTATTTAAAATAGGCATTTTCTTAAGATAATTTGTCTAACTTCAGTCTGATGCGTTGCTACTGACTTTAGTCAGTGTTTCTGTGGTACAGTTTGATAAATTTTCATAGAAATTGTCTTAACCCTTTAACTACCCTTCCAAGAAAAAATGGATTGCATTTCTCAACTCCTAATGTCGCTATTTAACACAATCAGTAAATTTTAAACACATGCTATAATTTCTAAAATATCAACTCTACCAAATGATTGATATGCGTGTTTATGGTAAAAGTACCAGAATTACATCTGCTATGAAAAGTCTGAAAAATGAAGTGTAAGACCAATTTATATAAAAAAAAAAATTAAATAAGTATTTTGAACACTAAATCATCTTTATTTTTTTATGACTTTAACAGTCATTTTTAAAAACAGTACAAACATGGTAGAGCAGGCAGTCAAAGGGTTAATGCTAAGGCGCAGATGGGAAAAATATCTTAATTTCAATTGGACACGTTTTATCTTTTGTGATAAATAAAATTCCATTACTGAACAACTATGTATTGCTGTAGAATTGTTTTTATTTTAGTGATTTTAATCACCAGTTTCATTCATTCACTCCAGTTACATTCAACCCAGCAGTGTAGTAATTTTTAACTAATAGTTGTGGTAAAATCACAACCCAGCATGCTGGGTTAAACATGTAACCCAACTTGTTGAGTTTAAGTAACCCAGCGTTGGGTTTGTCCCATTTTTACCCAGCGCTGGGTTACCAAAAAAACCCTGCAGTTTGTATAGTGTGTGTGTGTGTGTGTGTGTGTGTGTGTGTGTGTATATATATATATATATATATATATATATATATTGTTCAAGTACCATGCAGGCCTACAACTCCACAAAAACACATATATTTACTGGAAAAAGTTTAAAAATAGCCACGTACGTTTAGTCATTTATTTTCATATTTTACTTTACGTATTTAATTTTTCAAAAATGTCTTTGTTTGAACTGAACCACTTTAATTGTTCCTCGTTCACCTGTCAGGAAGGTATGAATATCCCAGACATTGTTATAATAGAAAGCTTTATATGATGATGATGATACTGTTTTGCCATAGATGTATATATCTATACTGTTTTGCTGTTATCGTCCAACAGAGGGCGTTGCCGCACTGAAACCGTGCCGCAACATTGAAGTCTGTGATTGGATCTTGTGGCTGACATGCAGGATTTTGGCCAATCAGAGATGAAAGGCTAACGGTGCACACTGCGTACTGCACGATGAAGTACTACGGCACCGCCGCCGGTGGAGCAGCAGCACATTGACTGGTGTCATAAGATCATTTGAAGGACTCTCTTCGTGGGTTACCTCACATTTCACAACGTTTTATAGGTAAATATGTTGGAATGCCTGATTTAGAGCTTTATCTAGCTTTTGTGTTCGTACGTTAGCCGTCAGGTTAAAAAGCCCAAGCGATGTTGCAAAGGCATGATGACCCAGCCAAACAAACCTTTAACAGGTCGTTTTAATGACATTTATAGCTGCAAAACACGGGACAGTTTGTTGTTAAATGCAAGAAATCCACCGCACCCTGTTTGTGTGACATGACATCCATCACGAGCTAACAGACGCTGCATTGACAATTACAAACACGCAGAGTCACGTGCACGATCTTCATGCATAACAGGTCGTGTTTTAACGCTATAATGTGCATAAATCTGATTACAATGCTATGATAAAACTACAGCTTCACAAAGCAAAAGTAAAAACTTATGGTAAGTAAATGTAGACCAAGCTAATCTATGTGAATAATACTTGACCATTGTAATCTTCTTTTGTGTTTGGACATGCTAGGAGTGTTTACAGTGAAAGGAGATCTACAGTACATGCAAATAAAGTATAGTTTGGCCTACATCAATCTGTTAGTAAACCTTCTAATCCCACCCAAATCTGAGGAGTTGTGTTTTTGTGGGTCTCCATGACAAGAAGTTATATTTGAACAACTCAAATAGATGTGACATTTGCCCTAAAACTTAAAACATAAATGAACAGAGAAAGTATACATTAACATTATATTGAAACATCAGTTTATATCTTCCAAAATTAGTAACCACAGAGTTAAGGGAAAATGTCAATCTCTAAACATAATTTATATTTTAAATGAGTATAATAACCATGCGGTATGGATGTACACAACATGCTTTGTAGAAATTCTGTAAATTTAACTACTCAATTAAAAAATAAACAATGATAATCAGAAGGATAAAAGTTGTCTCTCAATAGAACAAAAATAATTTTGTTTTATTTAACTTTTTTGCATTTATGAGTGAAAAGCTTCGTTATGGATGAGACATCTTTCCATTATGGATGTGACGGATGTGAAATTTGGTAAATTGAATATAATTGTTTGAAAACATTGACGGACATTTTTGAGGTACTGTAAAATACAAGCCTACACAAAAAAGCTTTCGCTATATTGGAAAAAAACTTAACTCTTTTCATGATATGGTTGACATTTGCATAGAATTGCTCATTTATAGATTACTGATGGATTTTAAATGTGCAGATGGAGCAGTTTTTGGATTTATTTTTTGCCTCACAAGCTTTTTGAAATGTCATACTGTATAATTTATAATTGTAAAAGTACTAATATAATAGTGTCATTTAGATCAGTGGTTCTCAAAGTGGGGGTCGCGTGACATTGAAGGGGGTCGCCTGGTGATTTCCAAAAATCTATTTATTTTTATTAAACCATAAGAATTACCATATTTTATCCATAACCTACAGAAATGAAAAAATAGTCGCTTATAGTTACTAGTTCTATTGGATTGCGACCCCTGGGGGAATTACATTATGTTAAAGACACAGCAATAGCTTCAGATGCAGCAGATTGATTTTTATAACACCAGGTTATCTCTCTGGCACATTTACAGCACTGAAATACATAAAAACAAAAAAACAAAAACAAATGCAGAATAGACTTGGGTCTATTGGTGTGTGTGTGTGTGTGTGTGTGTGTGTGTGCACCATTGCATGCAAGGTTTCTGTATTTATAACCACCTCAGAGGATATTGGGGGTCGCGAGTCGCTGGCATTGTTATTTTGGGGGCCACGGGCTGAAAAGTTTGTGAATCCCTGATTTCAATGATCATTTAATGTACAATATGTTGCAATATAACAAAAATTTGGGTTGTGCAAATGCTCCCTTTTTACGTTTAATCGATTTTATTAGGTTTTAGCTTTAGTTCATTTACTAAAATCTAATTTTAACAAGTTAATTTACAATAACATATACAATAACGTGTTTTTTTTTCTTTTTTTATTAATTATTTTTTGTTTTAACAAATCAGTTTTCTGGAAACCTATCTTATTTTACAGACAAAATTACAAATGAGCATTGACATGGGTTTAAAATGGGTTTAAATAAAATGAAAAATACCTAAAGGTTGATTCACACCGCATCATCAGACAACAACAGACACTTATAATTTATCGGTGTCTGTTGGCATATGTCTGAGCTTATTTTTGCCGATGGAACATGCTGAATTGACACCTGACATGCAGTAATATGGTGATGGCTTGTGTTTGTCAGAGGTGTGAATTGGCCTCAACAGTGTGCATTTGCTGTGTTTTATACAATATGATATGAAAATATGATGCATTATTAACCTATTAGTGTCACTTATTAAGTACCTCAAGAGAGGTGCTCAGGCAGTGCATTCAGCTGGTGTTTAATCATATTTCACTCTTTTACCTGTTCCTCCTGCGAAAGAGAGGCAGAACAGGCAGTTTGAGGGTCTGAGATGGATGTGGCAGTCCCTAAATCCCGTGTGTTTCTGAACTACAGTCCCACTGCCCTGTTTTCACAGTGAGAGTCATTCTGCATGGTGTTGCTGCTGTGTGTGTGTTTGCAACATGAACGCCCTACATCAATACTGCGCTGAAGCTCTGCTTTATCCTTCAGCTGGTGCGATTGTCCCTAAAACCTGACGAAAAATGCAAATGATTTGTTGAGAGATTTGATTTTCTGACACTATTGGGAGTGCATTATTGTGGTCTTCTATTGTGCTTGAACTTTAACATGTAATTTAATATAGTTGGATCATGTATGAAATGTTCCAGAAAAGTTCTCCACAGGCTGTAATGTCCAAAATCTAATTACTGAGGCATTAAAGTCTCAGTGTTTTGTGATCTTTGTTCTCTTTATTAAGCCAATTAGGTAACAAAAATAGGCTAACTAATCTCATAAATGAGTGCTCTAATATTAACAGTTGATTCTGTAGATTTTCTGGCTACATTTGGAGTTTGTTCTGAGATTGAAAGGCAACCTGAAAACTCATACTTGCTGTGATCATCAATCAATCAATCATTCATTCATGCTGCATGGCGCTACCACTATGGCCCATGTAAAGTCATACATGGTGCTGCAGACTAAACTTTGGGAGTTAACCTGTCTTACAGTTTATTTTGCATCTCTAGGTGGAGTTTACCGGTTACTCCCACCCAAGTGATGGCTGCGGTGCAGGATGGACCATGGAAGAGCCTGAGCTCTGGAAAGAAAGTGGCGTTGGCTGCTGGTATCTCGGTTGGAGCAACAGTTGGATACCTTATTTATCGTCACATTCGAAACAGCACTGGTGAGTTTTAACGTTTAATTGCTTTTTAATAACAGCCCTGCTATAAACTTCAAAGTGCATGATATTTCACTGTCTTCCAAAAGAAAGAAGTAAATCTGAACTGCCTGAAATGTGTCTTTAGTGATTGCAATCTTAGGTTAGCAACAAATGTGTATAATGCCAGCCAACGGTCTTCATTAGCTACACATACATGTTAGCATTTCTTCTTTTGTGTAACACTTCTGAAACAATGGAAGGCGGTGGGTTCTCTATGATCAACTGTGTTTGGTTTCTTTGCCTGTGCTTTGGGTTAATGCCAGAAATGGATGCAGTATCACAATTAGGGTTGTAACAATATACCGGTATGACGGTTTACCACGATTTGAACGTGCACGATTATCATACCATGAACAATTGCATATCAACGGTTTTAACCCTTAAAGACCGAGACAGCCGCCCGCGGCTAAAAATAAGTATTGCTCTTAAATGTTTAATAACTTTTGATCCGCTGATCCGATTCATACAATTCAAAGATTGGCATAAAGAAGAGAATCTCAGCTTTCCAGTGCTGTATCACATAACATTCGCGGACTTTCAGAGGCTCCGGAATCAGTGCGGTTACGTCATCAACATTTGACAACGCTGATTTGACACAGAAACGCTCGTCACTGTGTCTCCGGACAAATCAGACATGATACATTGATGCATTGTCCCTCCTCCATGCCCAGATTGGTTCAAACTCGCTATATCAGAACCAATAAGCATAGGTTTCGCTTTTGTTTTTGGACCAACACTGAGCTTTTTGAACAACACGGAATGAGAGAAAGGCATACATTTATGCGCGGCTAAATAAAACGCAAAAAAAAAGTTTTGCATGAAATAATTCTCATACTAAGTACTTTTGCATGCACAGCAGCACAGAAACATGACAAAACAGTGACACAGCAAAGACGAACTGCTGCTCTTGCTGTTTTCAAAAGACGCAAATGAAGATGCAGCCGTTGTCTGCATTGCAGACAACCATATCCATATCCATAGACAACCATATCCATGCTGGCACATAAAACCTAGGGATGTTCCATATTGAATCTAGTTTCGTTATGTAACTATTTATAGTATAGTAAATATTTATATCTATTTTTTACTGAGGATTTGCACCATGTTTATTTGGACTTTATTTGGACTTTGACACATTATTTATTATTTTATTATTTTTATTTGTTCATTGTAAGTGGTGTTGTTTATAGTAACTAAAAATATATTATTTGGAAAAAGTCAAATTTGCTTCACTGTTCTATTATTTTGTATAATTTGTAACATACCGTATACCGCGAAACCGTCAAACCGTGGTATTGTTTTAGACGATTATCATACCGTGAAAAATTCATACCGTTACAACCCTAATCACAATAGAAGTAGCTCAAACTCCAAATCATTCATGGAATAAAGTGGCTGCAACCAGCCTATGGTCAACAAATTTAATAATAAAATTCTTTCATTCATTCATTTTCCACCGCTTTTCCGCGACTGGGTTGCGGGGGCAGCAGTCTTAAGAGAAAACCCCAGACTCTTCCTCCTGCTCCTTCGGGGGGATTCCGAGGTGTTCCCAGGCCAGCTGAGAGACATAGTCCCTCCAGCGTGTCCTGGGTCTTCCCCGAGGCCTCCCCCTGGTGTGACATGCCTGGAACACCTCCCTAGGTAGGCGTCCAGGAGGCATCCGAAACAGATGCTCGAGCCACCTCAGCTGACTTCTCTCAATGTGGAGGAGCAGCGGCTGTACTCCAAGCTCCACACGGGTGACAGAGCTTCTCACCCTATCCATAAGGGTCCACCCTTTGAAGGAAACTAATTTTGGCTGCTTGTATCTGAGATCTTGTTAGTTCGGTCATGATTAAAATGAAAAAATAAACAAAACAAAAGTATCCAGTACCCAATAGCTCCCGCGTGGGAGTCAAGACTTGTTAACCCTTGTGTACTGTTAAAATTGACTACCCTTTCATTATTTTCGTGTCTGTTTTTGCCCCCTTGACTTCCATTATAAAGACATTTTTTGGTTGCAAAGCCATGACACTAAATAATTCTGCATTCTTGATTGTTGGTGTTTTTCCATGTCTGGAAGAGGAAAAACTTTAAATTTGTACTGTTAGTCATCGGTTGGCACCATTAACCCTTTAGATAGGCCTTTGCAAAAAAGTTTCTGACTTTTATATGGAGTTCTAAAGAGTAAAAAAGCATATGCCTTACTGTTTACTGTGTTTTGAAAGCTAAACTCCTTGTTTTATTTTCTTAAACATATCAAGGTAAGTGCACAAAGGTCTCTCTCACACACTCAATAGTGATGGGTGGTTCTTAAACTATTTGTTAATTTTTAAACAAATCTTTTATATGACTCGAGAACGATGAGTCCATTCAGGGAGTGATACGTTCATTTTCACATTACCACTTTTGTGCAGGTGGAGTAGAAGATTAGTTCCTTTTTTTGAGTCCTCTATCGGGTTTGCATTGCATTTAGAGTCAGAAAAAGATTTGATCCATTATATTTCAAGTCCTTGGTTTGAGTCATCTCTCTTTACATGCTGTCACGTGATGAACGAACGACTCAAAAATTAGAAGACTCTAAAGATGAACTAATCATGGCTCCTTTCAGCTCAGACTGTCCGCATTGGTAAGGCTTATATGGGACTGTCTGTATGACATAAACGAATAATAGGCCAAGACCAGGTAAACGATACATGATTTTTTTCTCTTTCTTATAGCATTCTAGTTATGACTTGATTGTAATGTGATCAACGTCTGGGCTAGTTGTAAATGCGTTTGGAAGCAACTCATTATAATCATTTTAATTTAATTATCAGTTTAAAATTATTTTGGCAAATTTTGCAAAATTTTACCCATCCCTAACACTATTTTTTTTCTTTCCAATGGATCTTTAGAGCAATGCCAAAGCAAAGAGGAGTCCAGAATATCTGTTCCCCTTGATGTGTATCGATCTATTGCAAGATATCAAAGCGCCTTCTTGGACATTGTGAGTTTGTTCTTCATTTTTTATAACACCTGTGTTTCTGTTCTATCTCGGGCTAAATAATTATATACAATATACTCTTCAAAAAATGTGACATTTAAGATTTTTCTTTAAAGATACCAAATCTGCAATTCTTACAGTAAAATGTTGATATTTTAACCTGGAAATATTAATGTTTTCAAAATTCTGAATTTTGGTGCTAAAATTTTAAAAACATTTCCCGCTAACATTTAAATTCCGTCGAGCACGTACTTAAACATCCCTGATTTGCCATTGTGTTTACATCCTTAACAGAAATGGCTGTGATTTGCCATGAAGGTCAGTTTTTACAATTTACAGCTCTACACCGATTGCAAACAGATACAGGGACATGGAAGCATTTTAAATCAGCTGAGTCTGTTTATGAGCTGACTTATGAGTGATCCGCTGATGAATCTTCTGATCTTCACGGTCTTTAAACCACTCCAGTGTCCCTGTATCTGTGTTACAGAGGTGAACTGATGAGCTTCAAGGCAAATCACAGTCATTTCTGTTGAGCATGTGAACACAATGGTAAATCAGCTATGTTGTAGAACGTGCTTAACAGCGCTTAAATGTTAGAAAATTGACGTTTTTATAATTCCAGTATCAATTGTTACCAAAATTCAGTATCATGGAAACACTACTTTAATATATTATTCAAATGTGTGTATATATATTTATCTTTGTAACTTTTAAAGCTAAAGTTTTGCATAATATTATCTTACCTTTTTAGCATCCTCAGTGTTTGTTCTAGTATGCTGATTAGATTTTTTTTTAATTATTATAGACACTTTAAAGTTTAGTTTTGGATTGATTTAATGCATCCAAATACAAGTATTTTCTTAATAACTCACAATTATAGCCCCCCCCCCCTCCCATCCCCAATTCGTGTGTACGATTTGTGTTTCTTATTTTGGATGACAAGACAAAATCTGTAAAAAATAAATAAATAACAAAATCTTAATCTTGAAATAATGGAAAAGTGTGATCCAATCACACATCCATAAAGATCTGATCACAGCCTCTAATGAATATATACTATAGTAGATTATTACGATAAAATATTTGTAGGTGTGACAGCTGCAAAATGTAGTTCGTAAATCTGAGCAATAAAATTTAATATGTCGAAAGATATATAATGTTTCTGAACTCTTTCTAACTGATGTTTGTGTAGGTGAATCAGAAGTCTGGTGCCCAGATTAATGTGCTGCCGAACACTGAAGAGCAGAACATGGTGAATTTTCTGATCCAGGGCTCACCAGAACAGATTCTCATAGCTCAGTGTGCACTGGAGAAACTGGCTACCGACTGTGAGGTCATCACTGATGTCATAGACGTGCCTCAGACAGCCTTTGGACGAATTATAGGTTGGTGTATTCAAAGAGGCTATTATTAATAAGTAATTATTTTTTACTGAAAATATCAAAATCATATGATGTTTTTAGTGCAGCCAAATGTCAGCTTTTCAGTGACAAGCGAAAATGCTTATTAAGATGTTATTATGATGCCATGATAATACGGAGAAATAATTTTAATCTTTTCAATGCTACAAATTCCAAAGATTCTCATCATTGTGTAAAAGACCTCCATCTTAAGGATACAATTTAAATTTTATCCATATCTGAAGTATTTGGGAATAATTTTGGGCTTGTCTGTAGTTCATTCATTCATTTTCTTTTCGGCATAGTTCCTTTATTATTCTGGGGTCACGTCAGCGGAATGAACCCCCAACTTATCCAGCAAATATTTTACACAGTGGATGCCCTTCCAGCTGCAACCCATCACTGGGAAACATACATACACTACAGACAATTTAGCTTACCCAATTCACCTATACCGCATGTTTTTGGACTGTGGGGGAAACCGGAGGAAACTGACACCAACTAGCCCAACTGAGACTTGAACCAGCAACCTTCTAGCTGTGAGGCGATTGTGCTACCCACTGCACCACCGTGCACCGTTGTCTAGTTTTTTGATAATATTCTAAATGGGTGTTAAAATATTATTTGTATAATATTTCGTTTTTAATAAGTTCCTTTTGCATATTTTCTAATCTACTCTTATAAATAGTACTCTTTATTTTATGTGTTTTTTTTAAATCCCATTTTTGTTGTTATAATTTGATGTGTTCTATTCTTATTATAATCTGTATTTGCATTTGTTTTAATCATATTATTTTTATTTTTAAAGGGTTGGTTCAGCCAAAAATGATAATTTAGTTGCCTACTGATTCAAAACTGTTAACCACTGACATAAATAGCAAGGAAAAAAGTTTGCATGTCAGTGCCACCAGTTTTCAACATTTTTCGAAACATCTTTTATTTTCAAGGGGAAATAAACTCAAACAGGTTTCAAGTAAATATTTTTTTAGAATTTTCAATCTCTAACTTTTGCATTAATCATTTAAATATGACTATTTTAGTCTAATGTTTACTTATTTTTCATTTCACTATTTAGTTTAAGATGAAATGATTATCGTTTTAAATTGTTCATATGATTTTTATGATTTTTCTCCATATTTTCCAAAGACCCTTACACAAATTAGAAAAAAGCTTATGATATGTAAAATACAAATTGATTAGAAAAAAAATGGATTATACATATACAGTCCCTTTAAGTAAAGGGGTCAGTTTTCATATTTGCTGAGCATTTGTGGTTCACATCATTCTGTCGGCGTGTAATCTCTTTAATATGTTTGAAATGTTTACTTCAGGTCGTGGTGGAGAGACATTGAAGTTCATAAACCGAGTGTCAGGGGCGAAAGTGAACTGCTCCAAAGATCGTGGACGCACCTTAGAGGAGAACGGCAAGATCACTATTACTGGCACACGCAAAGAAATTCAGAGTGCTAAGGTGATCTTTAAGCAATCGTTTAGTGTAGTTTATAGAAAAAGTTTTCAGATGTTATGCAGTGAGTTAGAGCTGGTTCGTTTTTTTTTTTCCCTCGCAGGAGATGATCATGGAGAAGGTCATCGAGAACGAAACAGTACGAAAGCGGATAAGCCAGGCTTCTGCTCTGCGTCAGAGGAGGAAACCTCCAGAAACCCAAGGACCTGAGAATGAATTATTAAAGCCTAATGGAAAAGATTTGCCTACTCTAGTGAATGAGCTTAAACAAGAGCTGCCCGTTACTGTTAACGGCTATGTGGACAGCACTGATACAGCTGAAAACTCCCTCAGATCAGAAGACGAGGAGATTCTTTCTCCAGTCTCACCTCTGGAAATCTCCAAGTTTGAAAGTAAGATTTGCTTTTTTTCCTCTCAATTAAAGCAATTTTCTCTCACAGCTCCCCCTTTTGGCTGATAAGTTTAATTGCTCCTTACCCACAAGCAGATGCACTGTTCTGATAGTAGACAGTGTTATACACATTCTTGGCAGGGACAGGCTTCTGTGTACTGGGGTGCTCACCCAAAGTTACAATAACTCCGGAATGACAATTTAATTAAACTTAATTAAAGGCAATTTATGTACACTCTTCCAAAGAACACGTTTTATACCTCAGAATATTTCATTTAATTGTAGTCATTTTAACAATTTAATAAATCGCCATTGGAATCAGAATGTGAAAATGCATATCCAAAAAAAAAAAAAAAAAAAAAATGTTAACCAAAAAGTGCAAGATAAAAAGTAACAGGCTGCAAAATCTGCTACCAGATCTATTATCAGTTGTCAGACACCCACATAAAAATATACTATAGTAAATTATAGTAAGTACTATAGTGTTTTTTTAACCATACTGAAACCTCCAATAGAGATAGAGAGGTTGCACAATCAGCAGTCAGTTGTTGCTAGAATAGTTTCTTTATGCATGGTTTCCGCTACATTCATTATTCCATGCCGGGGCGCCAAACCAAAATTCATCTCGCCACGGCTACATTATAGCTTCTCATTCAAAACAATTAGTCGTTGTTGTTGTTGTTTTTTTTTAATAGCGGGTTATAAATTTCACCAAAACACATTAAAAGGTACGTGAATTATAACAGCACAAACTTTTCTGTAATCATAGTAGTGTTGTGCGTTATTTGTTTAACCCTTTAAGGTGATATGCCGACTGACTGGTGTGTGAGGGTAGCAAACATGACGTAGCTTTCAGTTAAGATGAACACAGTTTCTAAAATTATACTTTAATTATAGATAAAAGTCTATGGTTCTGCATGCAATGACTTTATCTTGCTTGAGTTTATAGCCGTTTCACTTTACTTCAGGACGCATTAATGCCGCTTTGTAGGTCTATTGGAGAAATTCATAAATATTTCTAGCAAATCTTATAAGTGTTGGAGACATAGTTGTTACATAAACGCACTAAATCGTACTTCAGCAGCGTTTATTTGAGAGCACACAAGAAGATCTGTGCTTGAGCAGCGTATATTTGAGGGGGTGTGCAAGAAGTTTTGTGCACGAGCAGAGGAAATTGGCGCGCAAGCAAAATGATTTGCAGGCTCGTATTACATAAATGCAATCTTGACTTGTAATACTGTGCTCACGACATTTCCAGCTGGAAAAAGTCCTAGAGGAAACACTGTTATGTGTTGGCGATAGGGCTATGCGATTAATCACAATCAAATCGCAATGGCAATTTGAAACATTGTGATAAGCTATTCTCAGTTTTCGCTATTTCCCTGCCCAGAGCAAATGCGTGACTGATATATGTGTGTGATAATCTTACTATTTGAGTGAGAATAGTTTCATCCTGCCCAATCATATTTGCACAACCGAACTATGCGGAAAGTCCACAATAAAAAAAAATAAGAAAACAAACAGGAAAGTGTGGATAATTGGGATAATGGCGTCTGCTGCTTCAGAAGCGTTAATAGTCAAATTCATTTCAAAGAAAGACAGGACATCTGTAATACAGGAATGTTTTGGTTTCAAAGTCACAGGCACCAAACATAAACAGGACATTTTTAAAAGCTGTCGCAGAATTGTTGCCACAACTTACAGGTTATTGAGCTGAAGCTTGACTACAAAATTAAATTGCAAATCAAATTGCAATATCTGTCAGAAAAATCATCAAAATGATTGAGGTCATGTCCATGTGTTGTGTGATAAGTCAATATATTGATTATTGTGACGGGCCTAATCTGAAAATCTGGTTTGGAGTCATATTAAAGCTGAATATATGATCTTTTTTTTTATTTTTGGATGAACCGTCAATTTAAAAATAGCTTTTGATGCATATTCAGTGATACAACTGCATAATTGATCAGAGTAAACTGTAAAGTAACTTTTAAGGGCTCTCTCTCTCTCTGCCAAAATAAAACTGGAATAAAGAAATAAATGCAATAACGTTTTTTATTAGTTTGTGTGATTTTATAGTAAAATACAATGATTTTGCAAATATCCTTATTTATTTTGCATAAAATAATGTTAAGTTCATTGCTTGTTTTTGTTTTATTATAATGTTTAGGTTGACGTTGTGCCTTTTTTTTCCATCTCAAAATGATGCTCTTCTCCTTGCTTTGAAACTGTACTGTTCTGACTGCCTTGATTCCCATATGAAGTTTAACAGTTTATCAGTAGTAAAGATGGCTACATGTGTATTACAACATCTAAAAATAAAGCAGCATATAATTAAAGGAGCAAACATCAAATTCAACAGAGTAAAAACAGCCTGGAGAAGATCTAATAGCTCATTTCTGATCAGTTCCTAGTCCAGACCTGAGCTTCCAGCCCGATGAGCATCTGGAGGTGTACGTGTCTGCCTCGGAGAATCCTCAGCACTTTTGGATCCAGATCCTGGGAGTCCGTTCTCTACAGCTGGACAAACTGACAGCAGAAATGAGCCGTTTCTACAATGGTGATTCCTCACAGGTACTTTGCATGACTCTCTGATTTAAATGGCATTTATTTCGTTAGTTGTTAGTTGTCAGTGATTATACAGTTTATAACTCTTCTTCAGGAGCATAGAGTGGAGACTATTATAGTTGGAGACATAGTGGCTGCTCCGTACAGAGATCACGGCACGTGGAATCGGGCACGAGTGTTGGGAATTGTGGGATCAGGCCTGGTGGATCTGTATTATGTGGACTTTGGGGACAACGGGGAGCTTCCTCGGGAACATTTACGAAGCATGAGGTACATGAGAGGTGAAGTGGCGGGTTTTAATGTGATGATGGACTTTTTGTTCACATTTCTGGTTATCTCATAGTTGGGTAGACTTGGAGAGCAGTGAATGGGCGAGTACTACAAATACAGTTTTTGTATTCCTATTTGCTTTAATAAAAAAATCTTCCCTCACATAAAGGAAAAAAAAAATGTGTGAGACTCATAACGGCAGCCAGAATAGAGAAAAACAAAATGTACTGTCCTGTCTATCGGTGCTGCATTAGAAACACCTCACATAAGCAATAATTCATTTTTCTGTCATTGAATGCAAATATGATATTACAAAGTAAAATGTATAAATGTAAATGTAAAAATCAAGATTTTAAAAACTTTAAAAGCATTAAGATGCTGATGACCGTTAAACTCATCACAGATTTATGTAAAGGACCCATTGTGATTGTGTATCTTTTTTTTGTTTCTTTTTTTTATATACAGTAGTTTCACCAAATCGATGATTTTAAAATGATACCAGTATCTGCATCGATACTGACATTAATGAATGGCTTTTTGTTGTAGTTTTGTCAGTTTCTTCAATGTTCATGAACGTACAAAGATGGCCTCTGATAGACAACAACAAAAAACAATGAAAAAGAAAATGAATGGGGACGGGACATTTGTCAGCCAGTAGTTTGGGTAAACAGAATACAATGAGGAGTCAAGGGAGTTCTTTCATCTGTGACAAACATGTGTTTACTTCTGACAAAAGTGCCTTGGCTTTTGATACGCAGCATAAGTAAGTTTCTCAAGGGAAAGTAGTGTTGATATTTGAGTCCTTAACATTTTGAAAAAGGTACCCGAGGAGATGACCATGATTACAAAATGCATTTCTTTGCCAGATGAACTAAAATTGAAAACAGATGATTATCATAAGAATTATCCCCCCCCCCCTTCACCAAACAGATAGCAAGTACAAATCCACTGAGAAACAAAATTGTTGCTTAAAAGAACCTTGTAAAAGATTGTGTAATCAGTAATTAAAACAGTTTGAAATTGAAGAATGTATTAAAAGTTTAATGGATACATGAATATAAAATTACGAAACAACTTTTACATTACTTATAAAATCACATTGCGGTTCATTCCGCTGAGGCGACCCCAGATTAATGAAGGGACTAAGCCGACAAGAAAATGAATGAATCAATGAATAAAATCACATTACTTAATATTCAGGGTATGCAACAACCAGTTTTTATAATCTCTGCCAAAAAAAGAAAATAAAAATGTAATGCATCTATGTCTGTCTGTCTGTCTGTCTATTTATTTGTTTATTTTTTTCAATGGTCTATTAATTTATTAATGAATTTTATGGCAAATTACAATAAATATTTATAAAAATTATTATAAAAAATGTATAAATAATATCAACATAAGCACATACAATGAATAAAAAGCATACCAGCAAATAAAAAAATAAATAATATTGTAGTTTAACAAAAACTAAAACTAAAATTGTATAATATGTATCACACATAATATACTTCCCTTTGAACATTAAAAAAGGTAAATAAGCCGTTTGCTGGAACAAGGACTTCATCTGTATCTGACCATATGAAATCTGCATTTTAAATCTGATTTAAAGTATATGTGTATATATATATATATATATATATATATATGTGTGTGTTGTATGTTCTAATTTTGATTTGTGTATTAATTTTGTGGTTTTTTAGAAGTGACTTCCTGAGCTTGCCTTTTCAAGCCATTGAATGCAGTCTTGCAGGGGTTCGGCCAGAAGGTAAATATAAAAAAAGTGATGTTTAGGTGTTCATCTGTAAGGTTTTATTAAGAGCATAAAGATTTGGTTTTGTTTCAGGAGAGGTTTGGACTGAAGCAGCCCTGGATGACTTTGAACGCATGACATTCTGTGCTGAATGGAAACCTTTACTGGCTAAACTCTACAGCTACTCTCATTCTGAGATCTCATCCTGGCCTAGTGTCAAACTTTATGACAACAGCCAGGGAAAGGTCAGAGATCAACAGCACAACTCACTGTATTCAATCTGTTTGTTGGTTAAATAATAAAACATGCTATTCAGAAAGGATTTAGTAATGACTTGTAATAAATTGTGCCAAATTCTCATATCACATTGACATTGTAGACTATAAAATTGTAATTAATTTCCAGTTGTTGATTAAAATGTGACAAACAAAACAACAAAAACAGGACAAGTTTGACAAAATTTCATGAAAAGAAAAACATAGATTTGATACAGCACTGATACTAAAAATGTCAAAAGAAAATAATGTTAGAATAAAAAAGATCACAATATAAAAAAAATTAATATTTATCAAACTTAAAATCTTTTTCATGAAAATGAGAGAGAGAGAGAGAGATAGATAGATAGATAGATAGATAGATAGATAGATAGATAGATAGATAGATAGATAGATAGATAGATAGATAGATAGATAGATAGATAGATAGATAGATAGATCTCATTGATATGTAAAATTAGATTAAATTCATGTTTGTTTTTATAGCGCTTTAAGGTAGATTGTGTCAAGAGAGCTCAACATAGAATTTCTAGTAAGTTGAAACTGTGTCAGTCCAGATTTCAGAGTTCAATTTAGTTCAGTTCAGTGTGGTTTAATTTTCATTGCTGAAAGTCCAAAAATTTGATGAGCAAGTCCCAAACCAAGCAAGCCAGTTGTGGCAGTGGCAAGGAACAAAATAGCCTATATACGTTATTTTTAAATTCATTTGTAATGCGTTAAAAAAGTTTGTTTTTTTATTTTTAATATATATGTTTTTTCTCCTTCAGTGCATAGAAAATGTTATTTTTCTTCTGTCTCAGGCTGTGGATCTCGGTAAAGAATTGATTCGTCTCGGTCATGCTGTGAGCTGTGAGGATGAAGGAAATGGGCTGAGGGGAGACTGGGATGAGTCCAGATCACTGCAGAAGATGCTGGTACGATACGTGTAAAGTGTTATACAGTGTAATGCAGTTTCCAGCAGCACTAAGGGAAACTTGGCTTGGATTTTAACAGGACGACATGACTGGAGCCACATCAGAACTCAGTATGTCCTGCATCAGTTTATCAGGTAAGTTTGCTCTAAATGACATGAGAGAAATGTGTTGACATTATTATTGTTATTGTAATTATATATGTATATACAGGTGTGGACAAAATTGTTGGTAGTCTTCTATTGAAAATAGAAAACCCACAGGGGTCACTGAAATGACTTGAAACTGAAAAAGTTATAATTAATCAAAAATGACTGAAAATAAACTAATGATTGTAAATCAGATATAGCTTTTGAATTGTGGTTCAACCGAAGCATTAAAAAAAAAGAGCAGCTAATGAAACTGGCCAGGAAAAAATTTAACCGTATCAACAATTTTGTCCGTGTATGTGTGCGTGCGTGCTTGCGTGTGTGCGAATAGGTACAACATACAGTATATTTATTATTTTTTAAAAATTCAGTTTGAAATGTATATACATTTTTTTTGTATTTTGGTTATCACCCTGCTGAAAAATCCAGCTTAAACCAGCCTAGGCTGGTTGGCTGGTTTTAGCTGGTCAATCAGGCTGGTTTTAGAGGGGTTTTGGCCACTTCCAGGCTGGTTTCCAGCCATTTCCAGCCTGGTCTTAGCTGGTTAGGCTGGGAGATGACCAGCTAAAACCAGCTTGACCAGCCTAGCCAGGCTGGGAGCCCAGCCAAAACCAGCTATGTCCAGCTTAAACCAGGCTGATCAAGCTGGTTTTAGCTGGATTTAGCTGGTCATTTTCCAGCCTGACCAGCTAAGACCAGGCTGGAAATGGCTGGAAACCAGCCTGGAAGTGGCCAAAACCCCTCTAAAACCAGCCTGGTCGACCAACTAAAACCAGCCAACCAGCCTAGGCTGGTTTAAGCTGGATTTTTTAGCAGGGCAATGAATCGCAAAAAGTGGGTATTCACAAACATTTTAAGTAGCAGAATTGTTATTAACTACCATAATTAAAATTAATAGTAATAATAATAAATAGCCCCTTTCACACAGTGATACCGATAAATATCTGGAAAATTTCTGGAACTACTTTACCGGTAAATTCAAAAAAAGCGCTGTTCACACAATAATTATCGTAATTATTCACACAGTTGACATTAAGAAGGAACACAGAAACGTTATCTGACTAACATCTAGCAGCTAAATGTGTCTGGGAAAATATTTAAATGCTTTTATTCTCCTAAACCGCACAGATGTGAATGAGTCTGAGTGTTCTAATTGGCTAAAGTAGACGTCTCACGTCAGCACATTCTCGACATGAACGTGCTGTTTCTAGCAATCTTCTTTCTGCGTTCACACTGCGCAGCATTACGGCAAATTACCAGTAATGTTACAACTTCTCTTTCCAGAAAATAGCCGGAATGAATTTACCAGTGTTTTCAAAAAGGGCCTGTTCACACATACAGACCTTTCCGGAAAATTGCAGGTAATTATCCAGAAATGTCTATATGTGTGAAATGGGCTAATGTTTCTTGGGCACTAAATTATCAATTATATAAGGTCATGTGTCACTGAAGATGCTAAAAAACGATGCTAATGATGGTTAAAAAAAATTATCTTTGCCATCCCTAGAATAAATTACGTTTTACAATGTAGTCACACAGGAAAATTTCACAATTTTATTGTTTTTTAGCTATTTTTAAATACTTTTTAGTTTCTTTTTGATTCCGTAAATTCAACTAATAAGAGATTTTTTCAAAAATTTCAGTTGTTATTTATTTTTTTTAAGTCAGTAACAGTAGTGTGTTTGAGTTGAGTGTTTAACCAGTTGTTGCGGTGGCATATGTGAAGGTTCACCATGGGTAAATGATCAGCTGGAAAGCTCTTCACGTCTCTCGAGCTCTATAGAGTTGGAGCGAGCCGATGTGGACCAGAACTCAACTTTTAAACTCATGTCTTCCTACTCCCTGATCCACTCCACTCCATCTCAAAACTTGAGTGACCTGGTCAGCCAAATCCTTGAGACGTCTTCATCCATGCAAGACCCTCCAGTCCAATCCAACAGCTTAACTCCAGCATCGCCATTACATCAGCTGGAAATCTCATCTTCATTTTCCTCTCCGTTGAACGTGGAGACTGTGACATCAGCGCTGGATTCATTCACTCTCAACGATGAAGTCTTCCTCGGATCCCATTATTACGGCAGAAACGAGAAGACGACGTCCAGCGCGTCAGAAGAGACGGGTTCGTCTTATACGCTGGAGACTCACAGTGAGAATACAGAGAGCAGCAACAGCAGTGATGGTATTAGGGGGGTGTGGTATTACCTCACTTCCTCTAGAGACTCGTCTGAAGCGTCTCTCAGCACCACCATGCCTCATTCATCCACTACATCTTCCTCTTACTCGACTGAGGCCTGTGAGGAGAGCGATGCATCCTCTGGGTCTGTGATTGAGCTGAGTTCAGACTCATCCAGGAGCGTTGAAGATGCTAAAATAGCGCTCAGAACAGATAATCAGACTTCAGATCTAGAGATTATCACACTGAGTGACGGTAGCAGCTCTGGGAGTGAATTTGTTAACATTTCTGAAGAGCGTGAACATGAGTCTGAGACTGCAGGATATTTAGAGGAATCAGATCCACTGAAATGTGATGTGAGATGCCAGACGTCAGGCTTTAATGAAGATGTGTTGTGTAATAAAGCTGAAAGTGGAAGAAGAGGAAGTGGACTAAAAAACATGGGTTTAAAAAGTAATACGGGAGAAAATGGAGACGAGTCAACAAGAGGTGGAGATTTTATGAATAATTTGGTGGTATTTTGGAGCACGTTGGATTGATTTGGGATGTGACTGGTTTTTCACTGGCACCTTACTAATGCGACCGAGCACAACTGGGACTTTATCTACACAACACATGGCTCTGGGCTTTAATGTGGGCTTCAAAATACTTTCATTTTAGCAAACATTGCTAGCAAAAGTTAGCAAATTATTGCAGGATATTTTAACTTTGTAAATGTATTAAAAAGGATAATTCACTCCATTTAAATTTGTTAAATTTATTTACTTTACTCCAGGCTTTCCCAAAAAGTATGTGGTTTCTTTTCTTTTTTTAGATTATTAAGATTTTTAGCTGAAACTGCTTGTTCAAATGCAAGTCATGTCGCATAAAAATACTTCTATATTTAATAACTCTATTCACAAAAAAATATATATATACTTGAGTGGGATAGTTGGCAACTAGCTCTCTGCAACTCTGTTAAGCAGGGCTGCACCCAGTTAGTATCTGGATGGGAGACCACATGGGGTGCTGTCTGTTTGAGTCCTAACGCCTCAGTATATTGATGGGGACTCTAGACTGCTCAGTGAGCGCTGTCTTTCAGATAAGATGTTAAACCGAGGTCCTGACTCTCTGTGGTCGTTAAAAGTCCCTTGAAAAAAGAGTAACGGCTGGTTTATACTTGTATGTCGAGTGATTGGCGTGAGCATTTATACTAATGTGTGCTGTTTGTGTTGCTCTTCAATAACAATTCCGAAACGCTAGCTAGCCGTAGGTTTTTATGTTCATCTCTGTCGTGTTTCTTCGAGGGTGTTTTATTTTTTCTGAACTCTACCTTAATGTACAAGTAGCTAAAACTTGCTCATTCAGAGGTGGGAACCGGCGGACGTGCAACATCTTTAATCATAAGGCAAACACAAAACAACAGTTTACATTTGAAGCTTCTTTATGGGACTTGTAAACACTCACTCCAATGAGCTCGCGCGGCTCTCACCCCCGCCCACACTCGTCAGCGCTTCCAAGCCGACCAATAACAGAGCTTCTGCTATGCGTCGTTGTGACATGTAGCTACATTTTTTGAGAAGCGCTCGTCAGCGTCTGTGATGGCCACGGCGAGGAGTATGGGGCTGCGCAAAGGCTGCGCCGGAGCATATGCATGCGTTTGAGGCAGAAGTATAAATCAGCTTTAAAGGTTTAACCCCGCCATCCTGGCCAAATTTGTCCCCTGCCCTCTGTCCATCTTGGCCTCCTAACCGTCCCCATATCATAATTGGCTTCATCACTCTGTCTCCTCTCCACCAATCAGCTGGTGTGCAGTATGGCTGCTGTCGTGTCATTCTGGTGGATGCTGCACACTGGTGGTGGATGAAGAGATTCCCACCAAAATGTGTAAAGTGTTTTGAGTGTCCAGAAAAGCGATATATAAATGTAAGGAATTATTATTATTATTATTATTATTATTATTATTATTATTATTATTATTATTATCATTATTATTATTATTATTATTAAGTTCATCCAGTAATTTTTTTTTTTTACATAAACTCATAAATTAACAGTATATTTTCATTTTTGGGTGAACTATCCCTTTAAGTGTTGATTTAAATGTGCTGCAAGCCAAGGACATTTTTAAGTAAGCCTAAAAATTAGGGATTGCACACCCAATCACATTTGACCTTTTTCAGATTTTTTTCTTAAATTTTTACTTTTCAGCTTTCATAATTTTTTAGCACAGATGTGGTAAAAAATAAAGCATAATTTGAATTAGCAATTGTTTTTGTACTTATTTTTATAGTTTAATATTTTAAAACCTATTTTATTTCCATTTTAAGATTACATTTAATTTAGTGTTTGAAGCACTTAAATGCAAAAATAAGAAATATTAATGCTAGATAAACACTTTACATCTTATTTACAGTTTAAAGGCACATTGTAGCCCATCGCACTTAAAACTGCCTTTCAATCTTATACTAGCTTTCATAAAAAAAAATGTAAAAAAAAAACTTCCAGTGCCTTTTGAGTTATATATAGTCAAACTGTGAGCTCTACTCTGTAGCTTTTTTCCTTAATCTTTTCTTCCCTGCTGTTCTCTCAGAAGTTGCCTCTATTTCCGGAAGTGTGGATGACACTATAGATGAGGAGTTCAACTGACAAGACCAAAGACGTGTATGCCTTGATATTGGTAAGGGAACATCAGTAGAATCTCACAGATATTGTTTTGATGTTTGTTTATAATATTCTGTTTAAGAGGAGATGATTGATCTAATGATGTCACTGTTTCTTCAGCGACCAGTTCTTCTCCTCATTCAGCACATGCTTCCCGTCTCTGAGAAAGAGCCTTACTTGATGACGTCACTCGCTCAGGCTGCCTGTATTTACTGCATTCGTTCTTATGAACAGTGGGTTTCATAGTTTATAATGTTTTGTTACATCTGTTGTTTTTCACAGTTTACACTTTTGTTCCCATTGTGTTCACCTCAGTTACGTATTAAACTGTTTTTATTGAGTGTCAGAGGATGGATGGTTAAAGAGCAGAGCTCAGGGAACTCAGAATTGAGTTGGTGAAACTCAGTATTGTTGCATTGTAGCACCAAAGTTCCTTTGGTTTTCTTTGGTAACATGATGGTTTAGTTTTGTTAATGGGTTATATTTTTGTACTCTCATTTTCTGTCAATATTATTTATGTTGTGCATTGAGATTTATTACATTAAATGCTATGGTATATATGAGTATACAGTTAAATAAAGACTATTATTATACTTCATATTCTACTTTTTGTTTTGTGTCGCTATAAAAGGATTGGGGAAAATGGATATGTTTCAGTTCTATTTAAAATAGAAGTACAGTTATACAAAAGCTGCTGTAAATTATGCAAGATGTTATGGGTAAAGTGAAATCAGCAGGCACTGACAACAATGCAGGAAACATGGATGATATCTCTTTCATTGTATTTAAAGAAAACAGACTAACCGCAACCATTGTGGAGTACATTAATAACTGAATTAATAATTTAACACCAAGCACATAAATAATATCAAGGCAGTCAGCTTCATGTACAAAATTATTGATTAAACTTCTTGGTTTTTTGTGTAAAATATTTTTTTTATTGTGGGCTATAACGTTTTGTTTAATCATAGAGAGATGGATACTAAAGTTAGAGATAGGTTGTGTGTGTGTATGTGTATAATAATTATATATTTTAATATTTTATACATTGTAAAGCACATAACAAAAATATACAATAAGAACAACATAAACGTGTCACAATAGGCAAATAAACTGAAGAGAATTTTGAGAAAATAAATAAATAAAATAAAAAAATAAATAAAAAAATACTAGACAATCCTACATACAGAAAAAAAAGTCTACAATGCCCTGCACAGAGCTAGTATCCAGTACCGAGTTGGGGGGTGGGGACTCAATCAGAAGGAGCAGGGTCAAGCTGAAGAGTTTGGACATGTTTGTGAAGGGGTTCCCACGATTTAATGAATATAGTGTTAGGTCGGTGAAGAGGTTACCTAATTTTCTTCAACTTCATAAAATAAAGAACATTTCTTATCCAACAAGTGCGAGAAGGGGGGTAAGGGCTCGTCCAATTCAGAAGAATTAATCGCCTAGCCAGAAGGGTTAAGATGCTATAAAGTCTACCAAATGAGAGGGCCGGGTGGGAGAACCCCAATAAACAAATAATTGGACAAGGTGGAATATCAACAATAATAGCAGACAACAAGGGGAAAATTTGCAGCCAAAAGGAAAATTTAGCTCTATTTTATAAGAACATACAGTGATAAATAGAATAATAATGGGGTCCTTATGTGTTCAGAAAATTGCAGACTAAACCTTTTTTGGGAGTGATTGTTATGCATTATAAAATTTCATAAAATGTATTTGGGCTTGCTAAGTTTAAACATATGTAATATATCCTAATTCACTGCTTCACTGTGTATTACTTTATTTAAATCCTTTACATAGTAACAGCAATTTCAATGTTAGAAAAGAAATACATATGAGGGCCATGATATACAGTTGAAGTCAGAATTATTAGCCCCCTTTTGATTTTTTTTCTTTTTTAAATATTTTCCAAATGATGTTTAACAGAGCAAGGAAATTTTCACACTATGTCTGATAATATTTTTTCTTCTGGAAAAAGTCTTATTTTCCATTTTTGGGACAAAATTATAAGCCCCTTTAAGCTAATTTTTTTTCTCAATAGTGTACAGAACAAACCATCATTATACAGTAACTTGCCTAATTACCGTAACCTGCCTAGTTCACCTTATTAACCTAGTTAAGCCTTTAAATGTCACTTAGAAGTGTCCTGAAAAACATCAAGCAAAATATTATTTACTGTCATTATGGCAAAGATAAAATAAAATGAGTTAATAAAACTATCATGCTTAGAAAAATCCACTTATAAAAATGTGACTGGGCTTGTCAAGCTTGTCGCCCTCAAAAAAATCATACAAAACAAGTATAAAATCATAAGAATTCAATGATGGAACGCATCCTTGATCGCACTCAGCTTCTCCTCCATCAGATGATGTCACTTTCGATGTCATAGCCTTAAAGGAATTTTATGTTGATGCAGATGTGACTGGACTGACAGAAACATGGGGACAATTGTACATTTCTTTGATTCATAATATTTGTAGTATGTATTTGTAGAATTTATAATTTCATGTTTTTTTTAATCAATTGATGTGAATGATCACAGCTTAAACTTTTAAATAACAGTTTTTAGCATAACAAAACTGTTAAAGCTGTAGGTTAAATTGAGCTGAGTACAAGGACAATGACAGGGTTTGTACATTTGTAAAGTGTTTTTAATAAAGAAAAATAATCTGACAAGAATGACATTCATTTACAGAACAACTCACAGAAATCAACCATCAGTCCATTTTAGACATTTGTGGGATGAAATACTTTTATCCACTGTATTTATGTTTATATTTATATTTCAGAGACAGATAATGTACGTTTCTGGTAGAAGAAAGCAATACCATGAATTTTACATCCTACAGGAATCTTAGCATTTCTGTAACAAATATCTGTTTACATTTATCGTCGCTACCATTGTTACAACCTGTTAAATTATATTGCCTTTAAGCTATGACCGTAAACATTCTATTTTAATGTTAGGGTCAATAAATCTGCTATTCCCACCACTAAATCCGATTTTATTTGATCTGTAATCATTCTCCCTCACTCAAACATTTCCTGTGACCAAATATGGGGTAAATGTGCCGAACACGTGAACGGTGATTGGCTAAAACATATGTCAATCATTGTAGATCCCTGCGCACGCGCACTCTCGAGCCATGACAATTGTTGATAATCAACTGGAGTTATTTTTTGCTATAGAGTAAAATAATTTCAAGCCAGGCCCTTTCCCTCCGGGGGGCTGTCGGATCATACCACAACAAACGTAAGATACCGACTTGCATGAAGGGCTAATGGAAAACCCAAGGGATATGGTAAGAAAGAGTTTATTTGAGCCCGCTTCCTTGATTTAGCTCAGTTAGCGGCTTAGCAGTTAGCCGTCCTCTTTGTTTTGGTTGTCAGAAACAGATCCTGCTCGTCACACAAACTACAGCGTTTACCTCATTCGAATCACTCGTAATTCTTTCTATGCCATATAACATTTCATTCAAATAAGCTGTCTTATTAAATGGTGCTAATACAGTTGGTAATGTATATGTTTTGTGCTGCTGCAATAGACCCGCAGGCCAATGAATGTGGAAATGTTTGTGTTTGTTTCCCAACACACAGTTTTTACGAGGCTCGCATATGCGTTAAAACGTTTTCACGAGCTGTTATGTACGAGCAGGCATCTTACTAGGGCTTAAGATAAGCGTATGTGCCTGTTTGTGTTGTGAGGGCTTGTAATATGACCTAAAATCATTCACTTGTAGTTAATAGGGATAATAACAGCATTAATTTGTGGTAAAATTGAATGTTAGGAGATGAGAATTGAAATGGTACTCTTTCAGGGGAAGAAAAGGTCCCAAAATGTTCATTCTGAAATCAGGTCACAGTGTATTGGAGTCCTTCTACAGTCTAGTGTTGAAGTATTGATGAATATAAATATGTAATTTCTCAAAATGCAGCAAATTTAAATTATATATATATATATATATATATATATATATATATGCGCCTTTTATATTCTGGCTTGAGATAATTGTGTAGAATCTTTAGTGCTTTGTACATGATATTTGCTTCTTGTGACCCTTGGAAGCCTTTAATTTTAATAATGTGATTTGAGCCGCCTCCTAATTCCCTCTTTTAAAGATTGTGGTTATTACTAGTTACAATATTAATCATGGTGTATCATGTCAAAGGTGGTCATTTATTAAAGTATTATGGTTGTGCAAGAGAGCTGTAATCCTTTTGTCTTTCTTTGCCCTTACTTTAATTTAACATTACTCCTTCCTTCTCTCTCTCTCTTTTTAATATTCTCCATTTTTTTTGTCTCACCTCGTCACATGTAGGCTGAGCACACTCCCCGCTCAGAGCGGAAGAGGAGAGATTCGTTCGGGATGTTTGACGGGTATGACAGCTGCAGTGAAGACAGCAGTAGCAGCTCCAGCTCGGAGGACAGTGAAGATGAAGTTCCCAGCATCCCTGCCAGTTTGCCTATCATCAAAAACAATGGCCAGGTGTACACCTATCCTGACGGGAAAGCAGGAATGGGTTAGTCATGTGGATACAAAAGTCAAAAAACATACCTAAATATTATTTAAATTATGGCTGGGCGATATGACAATCCTATATCATGATAAAAGTCATCACATATTCTTAAAGATATATGGCAAGATATATACATCTTTTTTCTAAATTCAATTAATTAATAGTTTATCTACATTTAGGAATGCACGATATATCGGTGGCCATATTGTTATAGGGCGTTAAATGCTATTTTTAATGTTATTATTATCGATCCAATATCAAAATTAGGCATATATCTTTAAGCTGATAGATTACGTAATTGTACAGAACTGCCTGCCTCGAGAATGCGTGGGTCAAAACTGTCCAGTGCACTATAATGAAGCTTTCCTCACATTTTTTATTGACAGCAAAAATGATCATAAAAGCGTCTGACAAGAAGCGTCTATATGTTCAAAAGAATCTAAAACGCCAAATAGGATGAATTTATGCCGATTTTTCTAAAGTAAAACATACTGTCTATCTGTATTATCTTTTTGCTTGTACTGTTGCTCTGAACTGTCAAAACACCTCACAAAATGCTTTTTTGGACATTGCATAGTTCTACATATGTACATTACTAAACCACGGTTTATTCAAGAACATTTGCGCTGTTTTCAGTTCTGTGTTCTTTCATTTTCGTTTTACTATTTATTTAACTTGTTTGTTAATTAAATCTTGTTTTGTTATTTAACCTATTATTTTTATGCAACAGTCAAGTTGCATGTTAATTTGCTATGCAAAGAAAAGGAAATCATTTATTTTTGGCATGCTAATTTATGTGAAATCATAAATATAGGTCTATATAATCACCTACAATTTTGAAATTATTGCTTTTATTGCTTTAAGTAGGCTATTCAAATATCAGTTCAAACTTTTATTAAGTTTTTAAAAACAAAATCAGCTGTTCACTGTATAAAAATATCAAATTTTGAAATATTTATATTTATCGGCTTTAATATATCGGTTATCAGCCTCCAAATCTCAACAGTTATGGATATCGGCCAAAAATATTATCGGTGCATCCCTAATAAACATTCACTAAATAGAAAGGAAATGTCTTTTTTCTTTACATTTTAAGGGATATACTCTGTTAAAATGTAATTCATTCTTATTTATATGTGATCATATCTTTAATTTTTTTCAGAACTTCAGGGCAAATTTTTTAGGAATGAAGTAATATAAAATGAAAATTAATGAAAAATAAGATGAATGCAGGCCTAACATAAAATATTGCAAAATGTAGACGTTGCACTTTCAATATTGCAACTTTTTCATGATGCTTTTATTCATGTTTATGTCTGCTTCCACATAATGCAGTGTAAAATTGCGGTCAAATGAATTATAAGTATTACTGTAGTGCCACCGTGAAATAAAAGATAGAGAATAATATGAAACGATAAACGTTTGATTTAGTCCATATATTGTCATATTGCACATCCCTAATTTTAAACCTGACACAAGCAATGTTATGAAAAGAAACGGTACAGTATTGTTTCTAATGAGAAATTGTATTTGGTGCCCTGTTTACTTGTTTACTGGTTTGTTGTTGAGAATAAATATGTTCAGTGGTGTAAATATGCTTTTTTTTTCCTCCTCCCTCTCATGCAGCAACCTGTGAGATGTGTGGTATGGTTGGTGTACGAGATGCTTTCTATTCTAAAACGAAGAGATTCTGCAGCGTGTCCTGTTCCAGAAGCTATTCCTCCAATTCTAAAAAGGCCAGTATACTGGCAAGACTTCAGGTAACATGGGTGTTAACTTTGAGACAAATTGCAGTTTCCAGCTAGTTGTAGTATGTGTGTTGTGTTAGGTTTTCATAAAGACACCTCTGACTTATTTCGACTTGTTTTTGGGAGCACTCATATGATTAATATCAGGGCTGCACAATTTTAGAAAAAATTGACATTGCAATATTCAGTTTTTAAATGATATGCATTGCGATATGAAATATATTTTACAAGATGGATTGACTCACTTTTTGTGAAGAATTTCAGAATGTTTGGGATAATTTTATGGTAGTGCATACATTATTAAAATTACATATAAACTAGATTTTTAGGGGGTAAACTTACAGATGAGAGAGAAAAAAATGTTTCATATTTGTCTGGTAAACGCTGATTTATACTTATACCATAACCATAAGTTTGTGTGTTTCTGTGTGGAGTTTGCATGTTCTCCCTGTGTTGGTTTGCTCCGGGTGCTCCGGCTTCCCCCACAGTCCAAAGACATGCGCTATAGGCGAATTGAATAGACTAAATTGGCCATAGTGTACGTGTGTAAATGAGAGTGTATGGAAGTTTTTCTGTACTGGGTTGCAGCTGGAAGGGCATCTGCTGTGTAAAACATATGCTGGATACTGATGAATAAAGGGACTAAACCGGAGGAAAATGAATGAATTAAATGTTTATTGTCTTTATTTGAAATAAATTAAGATTTATTTGGTTAGAAACTTATCAAAATCTACATAAATTATTTGTAAAACTTAAAAATGTCTTTACTATTGATCAATGATTGATACTACGATCAATGCTGTTATTTTACATAAAAATATATCATGGTTTCTACAAAAAAAAAATATAACTGTTTAAATACAAGTACTATTTTTCATGGCTTACCAGTGAGAGGACAAGAATGTGAATGGCAGTGTGTGATGTTTTACAGATTTTACACTATTACATTTGCTCAATAGATTATCAGATATGTGTAGATATTATTGAAAGCCTAAAAGCCTTTAGATTTAGAACAAAGTTCAAAGGAAACATAATCAAAACGTGCTGTTGTTCCTTCTTTTTCTCTCTGTCTGTATTTTTAAGATTGTGTGGGTTCTTCTTGTGTCTTTTCAAGGGTAAACCACCAACGAAAAAGGCAAAAGTCTTACAGAAACAGCCGTTAATGGCAAAGTTGGCAGCTTATGCACAGTATCAAGCAAGTCAACAGAACCAAGCTAAATCAAAATCAGGTAAAATGGCTTATTTTAGTGTTGTTATGTAATTATATGCCTGAATGATCTGTTCTAGCAATCATATTCCACAACACCATTTTTTTTCCTCTTGAAGTGGTTCCTGTTGAAGGCTTTGACTGGGGCCAGTACATTTGTAGCAATAATTTAGTTGGGGCACCAGTCAGCTGTTTCAAACATGTGAGTTGAAATCGGCAGAACATTTATCATTTTTGTCACCGTAATTGTGTTTCTTAAAAGCCCATGTTATAAATGTTCTGTTAATGATTTGACAACTCTTTCAGGTGCCCATGGGTATGTGCTGGGGTGACATAGCTGAGGGGCTGAGGGTGGAGGTCTTCAATTCTGACACAAACCTCTCCACAAAAGTTTACTGGGTAGCAGAGATTGTCAAACTGGCAGGTACTGTTGATTCCAGTCTCTACCTACAATTTTTTATGGTTTGTTATAAATGAGAAGGGTATATGATTTATTTTATCCTCCTCAGGTTTTAAAGCTCTTCTGCGCTATGAGGGTTTTGATAACGACTCGAGCAGAGATTTCTGGTGTAATCTGTGCATCCCAGAAATCCACCCTGTTGGATGGTGTGCTTCTAGTGGAAAGCCACTGGTGCCTCCTAAATGTATGTATAACACAAAGCTATTCAAAACTTTGTAGGAGTTATTGCTGAATAGGAATAATTAAGAATGCTAACATATTTTTTTTACTTTGTCCTGATAGCCATCCAGCATAAGTATTCTAACTGGAAAGCATTTCTTGTGAAAAGACTCACTGGAGCCAAAACTCTTCCGCCAGAGTTTGCCACAAAGGTGAGACACCGCATCCCAACAGCGATCATAAAACTGTTCTGAGACTCTGGAAAAACCTGTAGAGCAGCCTGCTATGAGCAGTCATCATACACCAGGAAATAGCTTCTCACAAAACATGTTTACAAGGATGATAAAGATGTCAGACTGACTTAGTGGATGAAAGAAGCAAACCTCAATGGCCCATCATAGTCTATCACTGAGACAAGAGTGAAAATCTTTGTTAATTTCATTTTACCTTTTGCAAATAACATCAATATTATGTATATTTGTAAATGTGCATATATATAACTTGATATATATTAAATTTTATTTACTTTATTTGAAAGAAATTAATACTTTTATTTGACAATGTATTTATCAAAATTGACGAATTTTTTTAAAGATCCCTTTAAGTGCTTCAAAATGTGAATTTTTTTATTCGATGTTTGAAATAATCTCAACTATAAGATGAAGAGAGGGTGGGGCATCCTTTAAAGAAACAGCCAATGGCGTTTCATTTTTATTTTACATCAATACAGAACCCCTAGTTTTTCACATATTATTTTTTTGGGGTGGGGGGGGATTTAATTAATTTATTTTTTTGCGATTAAAAATGACTTGATTAAAATGATTTTGTTGTGGTAATTCACAGAAATTTGTGGACAATTTAGCAATTAAAAAATTATATATTTATTTATATCTTATTTACTGTATTAAGCTGCGGTCCTACTAGAGTTTGTGCAACCGTGCCACCCATCTAGGAAAGGAGGAAGAGTAGAGGTGGAAGGGGGATTCTTTCAAATGAAGATGGCTGTTATATGGAACTTAGGGTGACGTTAAAAATAATCATTGATCCATTCAATGACAAACTACAAGCTTTGGATGTTTATCTCAGTTTTATATTTTGTAAATGCAAATTTTTGAAGCACACTAGATTCCAGATAGACCTTAAACTAACAGACTAAAATTAACATCTACAATTTTACTCTAATTTCATGGGACCTTTACAAATTGCTTTTGGAAATGTCCTTACTATTTCAGATCAATGCCTTTTATTGTGTGTAAAAATATGTATTGGATTCTACAAACTTCTACATTAATTTTATCAATAATAATAATACATGTTTAAGCACCAAATAAGCAAATTAAAATTACTGAAGGCTCACTTGAGGCTTTCACATGTTAGGATTTGAATGTATTATTTATTATGCAACTTTGGCGAGCACAAAACACTTTTTCCAAAAGAGCACGCACACAATGCTAGATCTCTGAACGCTAGACTGCATCTGTTAAAAACTGTTTGTGTAAATGTGTAACCTGCAGGTTCAGGAGAACATGCAGTACCCGTTTAAGAAACTGATGCGTGTGGAAGTGGTGGACAAGACGCACCTGTGCCGCACTCGTGTGGCTCTTGTGGAACAAGTGATCGGTGGCCGGTTACGCCTGGTGTACGAGGAGAGCCAGGACGGCACTGATGACTTCTGGTGTCACATGTTAAGCCCACTCATCCATTCCATTGGCTGGTCACGAAGCATTGGACATCGCTTCAAAAGATCCGGTCAGTGCGGGAGTTTTAGATGAACCTTCTTGAAGTCAATTCAGCATAAATAACATTTGATGACCTTGTTGTGGCTTATGGATGTACATGTCTCTTATGTTGCACTCTGCAGAGGTGTCGAAGAAGATTGAGGGTCAGATGGATGCTCCCTCACAGCTGTTTCTTAAGGTGCTTTTATAATTGCTTTTTTATTCAACAGTTTGTATACACTCCACTTGCTCACATGTATCATCTTTTAAATCCACAGATTAAAGATGTGGATCAGAATGGGGATTGGTTTAAAGACGGAATGAAGCTGGAAGCAATAGACCCTCTAAATCTCTCCGCTATATGTGTTGCTACTGTAAGAAAGGTAAGATTTGTCATTAGTCATTATGGTCCTAACAGGGCATTAAAATTTTGGTTCCCACAGGTCATTCCATATTTTAAAATGTGTTATGTTTATTTTATTTTTTTATTCAAATATGCTAATTTAATGGTTGAGCATTCAGTTTTAAGGTGACAATAAATGTGACAAATATAACCATTTAGTAGGAAATTTTGTTACACTATAACACTTACGGAATTTGGTGAAAACTGTTTGATTCTAAAAGTTTGTGATGTGCAATCTTGTACTTTGTGCATAGCTGTGTGCAGTCTGTATAGTCTGGTAATATTGCAGTTACTGTCTTAACAAGGTGCACTGATATAAGCTTAGCATGCTACTCATTTTGCAGTAAACAAAAACCTAAGGCTTGCATGGATTTACTGCTTGTTAGAATGCCTCACTTCAATATTGACACTGCCCTTTAAGATTATACAATATAATAGCATAGTATTATATGGTAATATCAAGAGGCTATTTTTTCACTAATGTCATGCTTGCAAGTGTTGTTGATTTTTTTTTTTTTTTTTTTTTTTCCATGTCATTTGCAGTGGACTGTAATTTAACAATAAAAGTTAGATTTTAGATGTAACAGGCTGTCCGCAGGGTCTTAAAACGTATTAATAGTTGATAAATCAAGTATGAGAAAATTAAGGCCCTTAAAAAGTCTTAAAAGCGTTGTCCAAAGTGTTTGACTCCAAAAAGGCATAAATATATTTATTTTCCTCCTAATATTAACAAGGACGTCCTCGATCCACGCGATTGGTTCGGACCGAGTTGTGTCTGGCCAAGCTCCTCCGACCAGATGATGTGATGTTCTCCACATGTAGCGAAACCATAGAGTGAAACAGATGGCAAAATGGGAAAACGTAAGCGTACATTTTGCGTACTCCTGGTTGGAGAAAGACGAGTTTAAACAGTGGCTGATGCCTGAAAACAACCTCATAATTTATTCTTTCAAGCTTGTTTCTTCCGAGCTTATCTGAATTCTGTTGCATGGTTGTGCTCCATTGATTTATTTAACTGCAACTGTTTATTAACAACTGTTTATTAAGTTAAAGGTTTGATACTGATTAGAACTTGAAGTGGCGATGAGGTCTTAAAATATTCTGAGAAGGTCTTTAAAAAGTCTTAAAAAGGTATTGAAATTACCTGTAGGATTCCTGTATATACCCTGTATAACATGGTCGGTAATGTTTCTTTTTTCACCCACAAAAAATTTCCAAATGAAACACTTTTGCTTTTTTAAATAACAGTGATGATTCTTTTCTGAATGAATCTTCGTTTTGAATGAATCAATTTGATTCAGTGACTATTTAATAAAGATCACTTCAGGTCACTCGCTAAATCTGTTAGCCTGAAGTCCCGGGGCTATTGTTTTTTCAGTCGGCCTACCAAAATCTATGTACACCAAGCCATACATGCAGCTCGATATTAGTACTTTTTTTGTTTATAAATGATTGAGCCCTCTGAATGAATCTATTGAATGACTCGTTCATTAAGACAGTTACATTTCTTCACTAGGATCACTTAAAAATGTGTGGCAAAGAGATTTGGAATATAATTTTAATGAGGATCAGTGGGAGACAAAATGCCAGAATACTTTTATTTCCCTTTCCAATAACAAAATAGTTAAACAAAAAATATATAAATTTTTGCATGGGATGTATGTGACCCCACTTCATTTAAGCAAAATGTAACCCAATGTGTCATCCAGGTGTCACAGTTGTAAAACATATTCAAGATTAATCATGCATATTTTTGGGGACTGCAAAAAGATGACTTTTTTTCTGGAAAGCAGTACAGGACTTCACAGCCAAAGCTTTGCAAACTCCATTGGACAACACTAGGGATGTAACGGTATCAGAATTTCACGGTACGGTAATACCTCGGTATGAATGTCACGGTACGGTATTTATTGAATCATTTACAGGAAAAAACAAAACTTATGAAAATACTCCAAAAAAGTGCCAAAAGTGTCAATGACATACAAATTAGCCATCTATCTGTAAGCTTTGAAACAGGAACTTCAATTTTAATAACAAAAAATTATTAAACCATGTAAAAAAATAAAGTTTCAATTAAGTATTGTTGAAAACTCATCACATTCAACATTTAATCACACTCAGCCCATCTACCCAGACGAGAGCTCTGCTAGTCGGACTTCTCATCAAGCATCTCCCGCTGGATCTAATCTCACTATATTTATTAAACGGGATATTTCATTTATCTTGTTATCTTTATCTAACGACATATTCCCTGACTTTGGGCATTGGAATCTATTACTTGTTCTCAGGTAACGTGTTTTGGCTGAGTGCAAAGATAAGTTAATGATTAATGTAACCACGTACATTCTGTATATTGACTGATCGCTTGCCTTTATTTCCTATAATGTATAAACTTATTGTATGTTATACTTTTAAAATGGCCATTATCGATTCTTAAAACTGATACTCAGCAAAAGAGAGGCTGTGTTTCGTATTTTCACTAAAATTAATAGGAGGCAGTTGTTATCGGCTCCGTTTTGTTATAAATATCCACACAGTGAAGATGACGCTCATCTTATGCAGCACGACGCCTCAACATGTCTGCTGTCTAAGTTGCTAATATTAAAATGAAAATAGGCAGTTCCTTAAATCATGTTTACATTTTATTTTTAAGAAAGTGAAACAACGAAGCCAGGGTGATGTGAATGAAGTTATACAGTACACTGTTCCCTTAGAAGATTTACCCGTGTCCTCGGTATAGTCTGCTTTTCCATATCAAACTGAGAAGAAGAGACTGCAGCCTTGATCAAACTTACGAAGTCTGAACTTACACGGAGAGAAAGCAGGACTGAACTGTGCGTGTTAGGCTACTTAATATTCAGGAAAAGCCCCAATCAGAGAGGCGAACGTCTGCAGCCCCGCCTCCGTTTTCAGATGTCTCCGTTTTCGAGAACTCCGGCGTAGTGTGGACGGTTGGCGTAACCGTAGCAAAACTTATGCGTTTTCAAACTAAAACGCACTAGTGTAAACGGGGCTTTAGAGTTTTCCAGCTCTTTTCATCCCCGCTTCTAGCAGCACACTCCATTTCCGCATTACTGGATCTGTAGCGACAACAGACCGCAAGGGATGATGGTCAAGCATGGGCTGATGGGAATAGTAGTTTTCGCTACCTCCCGTTCGCTTCATTCGCCTGAGCAAATTTTCTCAGAAGACCTATAGTTTTACCGAGTCATGCGACTTCGGTAATATCGAAAAAAATTAATATTGCGGTATGACGGTATTTACAATACCGTTACATCCCTAGACAACACCAATGCAATGCCTCTTTGGTACAGAATTGAACAAGACACTTAATTCTTCTTCTACAAAGACTCAGCATCATTTTCTTATCTAGCAAAAAATGCATTTTGCTTAACTGGAACCATCAACGACCTCCAATATTTGAACTGTTCAAATAACTCTTGAATGAAACAATGTTCTTGGAACAATATACAAACTACTTAAGAAACAAAGGGGGTGTCTTTCAAAAACTATGGATGCCTCTAATGAACCTCTGACTCTGTGATCACCTCAGATGTATTTTCATAATAAGTGTGATTTTTAAACTTTATTCATTTATTCTAATTTTTTGCATGTTTTTTTTTATTCATTAATTTATTTTTTAATGACTTTTGTTTCTATACTTGTGTTCACTGGTATCCTTGAATGTTCATTAAAACCAATAAACAAAGAATAAAGAATAAAAAAAGTAAAAAGACGTTTACGTTAACGTTTCGTCAAGGCATTACTACTAGCGTACCACTTTTAAAATGAACAAATTTTATCTGTAATAAATAAAGGCATTTCATATTAAATAGAAAAAAAAGTATGCACTATGGTAAAAATATGCCCTTGTCAAAAATGCACAATATTTTTTATTTATTTTTTATACAATTTATTTTTTTTTTTTCAATTCTTAAACAGACATGTAAAAAATTTTTATTTGCAGATGAACAACTGGATTTTAACTTTGAATTGATCTTGTGTTTTTCTCTCAGGTTTTGGCAGACGGGTACCTAATGATCGGGATTGATGGTTCCGAGGCGGCTGATGGCTCAGACTGGTTCTGCTACCACTCCACCTCTCCCTCCATCTTCCCAGTCGGCTTCTGTGAAATCAACAGCATTGAGCTCACACCCCCAAGAGGTGCGTTACATCTCACTTTCTACACCCAGCACCTCTGAACAAAATCTGTCTGTTTTAGCTCATGAATCTGACATTTCTCTGCAGGGTGCACCAAACTCCCTTTTAAATGGTTTGACTACCTCAGAGAAATAGGTTCGATTGCAGCCCCTGTGAAGCTCTTTAACAAAGTAAGTTTTTTAGTACTTTATTGGGAAGTATATTCTTGAATTAGGGTGAATTCTGGTCATTTGAGACAATTTTTCTCGATCATCTTAATGGTCTCTAGGTCAATCTCAATTTCTAGGATGTCCCAATTGACCAGAATTCACCCTAAGCATTGTGGTCTCCTCTCTTTCTCTCAGGATGTGCCGAATCATGGATTCCGCGTAGGCATGAAGCTGGAGGCAGTGGACTTGATGGAGCCGCGTTTGGTGTGTGTCGCCACAGTGACCAGGATTGTCCACAGACTCCTGCGCATTCACTTTGACGGCTGGGAGGATGAGTATGATCAGTGGGTGGACTGCGAGTCTCCAGATCTCTACCCCATAGGCTGGTGCCAACTGACCGGCTATCAGCTGCAGCCGCCTGCCGCACAGAGTGAGTAAACAGCAATGAACATTCTGCTACTTGATGGGTCAGATTGTTTCTAAGCAACGCTCTGTTTTTTTTTTTTGTTTTTTTTTTTTACAATTTTCTACTGTCTCTCAACTTTAAAACGTTTTAAACTGTTTAGATTGAAACCATAAATAAATTAGCTTCTTTTTTTCTTGATATTAAACTGGTTTGCTGAATAAATGATGCCTCATTATATAAACAAAATTTACAATTAGAGATGTTAAGGACAGTAGCTACGTTTCTATTCACACTACCGGTCAAAGTTTGGGCTCAGTAGGATTTTTAAATGTTTTATAAAACTCTCCTGCTCCCCTAGGCTGCATTTATTTAATAAAAAATACAGTAGACATTGTAAAATTGTGAAATGTTAGTTCAAAATGTAAAAGTAGTTTACAATTTATTTTAAAATTTTATTCCAGTGATTTTTAAAGATTAATTTTAAAGAGTGATTTTAAAGATGAATTTTCAGCTTCATTACTCCAGTCTTTAGAGTCACATGATCCTCCAGAAATCACTCTAATATTAATTCTTATTATTAATATTATTATTATTATTATTGGTAATAGTAATAAAAGTCTGGAGTAATGACTGGAGTAATAATTTCATTTGAAACTACAAACAATAAGAAAACTGTTATTTAAAATTGTATTAAATATTTAACAATTTAACATTTTTTAACATTTAATAAATGCTGCCTTGATGAAAAACAACAACTTTTGATCGGTAGTGTATGTTAGCATGTTTTTTTTCTGTTAAATTATTGTTCTCTATTGTTAAAAAAATAAAACTAAATGACTAAATAAAAATAACAGTGGAAAAAAACTATAATTAAGGATACAACTAATAACCCAAATTTTATTGTTAAATCTAAAATCAGCAGAGGTTACACTATTAAAGTGCTATTTTTATCATATAAAATACAGTAGTTAACATTTGAAGTGAATAAAAAATGTTTTTCAAAATTGTCCTAGTTTTGAAATTTTAGGACAACTTTAATGAAGGGGGATGATCCACTTCAAATGTTGCCTGCTGTAATTAGACAGTTTTTACATTTAATAATTCTGAAATCATGTTTGTACTCCAATAAAATATTTATATTATTTGCTAATTATTAACCTCATGCAGACCTCTGAATCTGTGTATAATTTCTGAGTCTGCTACTGTCCACCGGAGCTCGCATTTCAGTCACGGGCGCAAGTTTTGAGAGTCTTTCTAAATGAATAAATGAATATGCGGTTTTCCACCAAGGCAAACTGGGTGCTGAAATTATAATTGGCTAAACTGGCATTGGGCATGTAAAGACAGACATTCTGGCGCGTAACTCACATTTTTAAAGTAGAATGTCTGACTTTAGTTTTTCAAATGAACAAGAATGTTCATCTAGCATGTTTCTTAAATATCTGCAAACATATGATGGTATTTTTATGCTTTAGAAGAGTCAGTAACCTACATACTTCACCTTTAAACCAATATATTAAGTCATCCCTTCTTAAGTTATGTAAAACGTACCGTCCAATATAGTGCAAATATTTTAATAAATTGTAATTTATCGAGTTCATTACTCTAGTGAACTAACAAACGGTATTGAAAGTGACTGAATTTCCTGAGGTAAACGTGCTGCTATGTGGACTTTGTTTTCAAGCTGTTCTATTGACAACTTCTAATGATTAAAGGCTTGCGTGCGTTTGTGCATGTATTTCTCTTTTGTGTGTGTTGTGTTAATTGGTGTGTGAACAGGAGTTGAAAGATGACACCTTTTCATATCATAATAAGTTTCCTAATGCTCGGCTGCAATGTCTGTTTCCTCCTCAGCCACAAGAGAAGCACCGCCAAATGTCTCGAAACAGAAAAAGAAGGCAGCACAGTATAAAGGACAAAAAAAAAGTGAGTCCAGTCTCCATCAATCTCTCCATCTTTTCTCTCTCTCTCTTTCTCTCTCTCTTTCTCTCTCTCTGTCTCTCTCTCTGTCTCTCTCTCTCTCTCTCTCTCACTGAACACTGAATTGTGGGTGCAAAACTGGTCCAGGAGTCATCTCTGGTTTCCTCTCTGGTTTGGGTCTGGTCTGGTTCTGCTTGATAGTCAGTGGCAGTTTTCATGATTCAGCGTGGTCATGGGTAAATACACACAACTGTAGCCATCATACCCAGGTGAGACAGGGCGAGAAAATCAGAGCTAATGTTTGGGACAGGTCAGATGCTGCATAAGGGTTTTCAGTTTCTCATTTTAAATCTCAATCACCCTTCTGTCATGTAGCACTCAAATTGAGTTGTGGGCTGAGCGGGACGATGGCCTGCAGTGTTGAGGAGTGGAGCTCGGTAGCTTGGGTAAACTCGGTAACTTCGGTAACCTCAGTCTGGCTTGGTGTTTAGAGAGGAAGATTCCAGTTGGGAGGAGGCCGATCGGTTTGGGTGGGCCTCTGAGGAGGAGGAGCTTCTCGGGTGATGAAGAGCAGACTCCGCCCCATTACCTGTCCCACTTCTCTGGGTCCAGGCGACCTCCCGCCTCAGGTGTAGAGCGTGATCGCTCTCTCAACTCAGGTAACTCTTTCTCCATCACTCAGGGAGAGGGCGCCACTCGGCTCATTCCTCTAGATCTTTTCAGGTCGGCCCAGCGTGGACAGTTGCACGCCATCAGGCATCTGAGTAACTTGTGCTGCAAACAACATTAACCATAGATGCATGATGAAGAAGGCTAGAGAATTGGGTGTGTGTGTGTGTATGTGGGCAGTTTCATCCCATTTTTGACTCGCTGATTTTTTTTCCATTCAGGATGTTGGTAATTAATTGCTTTGGGTTTTTAAAGGAACAAGTCACCAAAAAATGTAAGATCTGTTATTGACTAGTCCTCATGTTGTCACGAATCAACTTCTTTGGAGCTCATTTTAAAATAATATCTTATTTTCAATGCAGAATAAAATGGTTCTAAGTCTACCAAATGACCGCCTAATAAGGCTCCATAACAATTCTAAGTGATAATTCGGTAGTACTTTAGTTTAGGTCAAAATTCCTGGTATTAACAAACCATTAACCGAAACTACTAGCTTAATAAAGTGCTAGTTAGCTGCTTTTTAATAGTTAATAAGGTAGAAGTTGAGTTTAGGATTAAGGAGGTTAAAATTATACTTTATACCTGCTAATAAACAGTTAATATCTAAATAATAGGCAGGTAATAAGCCAGTAGTTAATAGCATGAATTTTGACCTAAACTAAAGTGTTGTTGCTAATTGAAGTTCGTTTGACTTCAAAGCTTTATTTTTTTTTATAATTGTTTGTGTTTACAGTTGAAGGCTCCCTCTGAAATTCTTCAAATATTTATAATATACAAATGCCGTTTAAAAGAGATTTTTTTATTCAACACATTTTAAAACGTAATAGTTTTAATAACTTTTTATTGTCTTTGCTATAATAAGAATGTAAATGTAATATTTGGCAACATATTAATATTAAGCTTAAAGTGCAACTTAAAGGCTTAACTAGGTTAACTATATAATTTAGGTTTACCTAGGTTATGTTTTCATTCTAAAATATCATTTTAAATGCGAAAATGTGCTAGTTGCACCCAAGTTTGTCCACTGTTGACCACTTCCAGAGGTCGACATAAAAGCATTTAATCGCATAGCTTATTTATAGTGTAAACACTCATGTTACTGAACACTGTACTCTACAAAAACACCAAGATTACAATTGAAAAGATTAGTAGCCATTTACATCCTTTTCATTCACTTAATTTGCCACTCGCTCTTGGCTTTGTTTATTCACTAGTACTTGAGCATATCCAGTGGAAATGACATACACTGTAAAAATATCCATAAATCAAGGTATGCACCGATATCATATTTTTGAAGCTAATCCGATCACGATCCCAAAAGTTCAGAGTATCAACCGATACAGATCTGATCTGATACTGTCCTAATTATTATTTATTTAAACATAACACTGTTTCTATAGTTCTGCTAATCATAAACTCAAATAATTTATCTTCTTTAGTAAAAATAACAGACCTATAGACCAACTGTACATGAGATCCAGTGTTGCGATCTAACAGACACAGCGCAACATGGTTTAGAAACAGCAATGAACTCCATGTTGCAGGTCAAAATGAACCCATTTAATGCAAAACTAAATGCATTTCTCCACTGATTATTTAAACTAACATTAACAAATAGTCTTGGAGAAAGTTTTTTATGTTGTCATAATGAACGTGACACACAGTTTGAATTGTGAATGAATGGAGAATGATTGACAGGCACAGCGGAGGTGGGCGCTGCACTGAACATAATTTTAAACACGTGATTATTCATCTGTACTTCACATTAAACCATGCTTGGCATATAGTAGGCCTACATGACAACTTTCTAGTGCCTTATAATAGGCTACCTTCATGGCTTTTGTTGGCTTATAACTTACATAGAATATAGTGCACGCACAAGATCGGATTTGGATCGGTCCTGGGTGGCCGACACCCGATTCAACAAAAAGCTGATAATCTGATCAGATCAGTGCATCCCTACATAAACAGTTTTTCATATTTTGTGATTTCATGTTTTAATTTTTCCCCATTTTTATTTCTTACAAACTTTTCACCTTGAAAAGTTTGTTTAAATAGTTTAAAGTGATATATTTTCTGGGTTGGTGTTGTATATTACGATACAGAAACAGAAAAACAAGCAGCACCTAGCAGCTTATTAAAATATTCATTATTACTTATACTTTATATTATTTCAAACTACTAACATGTCAATAAAAGTCATTTTCTTTAACTGTACAGTTGAATTATCATCATTAAAAGTTGACAGAGCAGAGATCAACATCCCATAATGCAATTCACAACCATAAATAAACTGAAACCACTTATGAATCACAAAATACAGAAAGTGTTATTAACAGATATCTTTTAGTTTTGATTGTGTCAAAATGACAGAAGAATCTTGACAAAAGACGAATGCAAATGCTCACAATAGACTCCTTTGAACCCATGTTAATAACAGGTGGAAACAGACACATACGTTTTCAGTTTCACAGCACTTGCAAAAAAAAAAGATTTCTCTTGAAAAAAAAAAAAAACTATTGATTATATGGGGATGAGTAAATGATGGCATTTATTATTTTTTGTGTGCATTGTTCTTTAAAACATCACAGGTAAGTTTATCAGACTACTAAAACATCTAAACTCTGCATATTGCTGTCTGCTTGATCTCATTATTTGAAAACTACAACTTGCTTTAGTCTTTGGCAACTAAAATAAATTAAAACAATGCTCAGTTGTCTGTTTTCTCTTTGACGTATTGTTATTCTTGTGTCTCCTTTTTTGCTTTCCCAGAGGCCTCGCTGCAGGTGAAAGAAGAGACTCCTGAGATCGACGAGTTCACCTTCTCTCAAGGCATCTCGGACCAGGAGAGCAACGGCTCGGGCAGTTATTACATCAGACAGGAGCCATGAGCCGATGCAGCCAATCACAGACTCTCACCTCACTGCCAACAGCACTGGAAAAAACCCCACACGCAGAGATGCACAGCAGACCTGGAGGAAGAAGAAGAGACTTCCCTCCAAAACCAGGTCTTTCTCCTTTCCTTTTATGGTTCCTTTTCAGGTTTCAGGAGAAGAACTTCAGTCATTGATGCGAGATAGAAAAGGGGGGATTTTGGTTCATATAATAAGGATAGCGTTGATTATCCTGACTTTTTTCTTTATTCTTTATTTTTTGTTCTCATTTAAACAATTTGCCCGATGGACTTTTCCTCCTCAGTGTTCATTGTACTTGAAAGTTTTCTTCGCTTTTATACATATTTTATCTCTTATTTTTCCTCTTTTGGTGAAGAAAAACAAAAAAGACGACAAACATTTTTGGTATTTTTGGGGGTGGACATTTCAGTACCTTGTGTGTTCTTGCGCTGTTTCACTTGTTTTGGATGGGTGTGCGTTTGGTAATAGTAGAAATCTATATTGAGACAGTATATTCATATATATATGTATGACATTCATATTAAACATATTTAAACGTATAAATATAGTAGTGGATTGAGGGATGATGGTATTGAAATCAAACCTTACTGGTATGTAGAGTAGACTAACGGAAAACACTCACAATTTGCACTACAGGGATTTCAAACGAAATGTAAAACCAGTAAACAAACAAACCGCAGCTTTATTGTGATGTGATTAGCAAGCGTAACTTTAGCGGTGGGATGTGCTCAAGTCAAAGTGAAGATTACGATATGCAAATTGTTTAGTTTTTCGACATTTGACGCCAGTGTTTATAGGTTTTGATTACAATCTCAAGAGCCATTTTTTAAAATACAGGCGGTCAAAGTGTTTTTGAGCCAGAGAATAAAACGTAAGCAATCACCGCTGCCTGAACACTACCTTTCGCGAGTCTCCGATCAATCAATCCAGCGCTAGCTCATTTACTAGCCTGGCCTCTAACATCCCATCCCATACATTTCCTGATTCCATTCCACATTTTGACTACCTCTAAAAGAAGATGCGTTGCAATAGGTAGTTCTTTCATGCTTATAATCCGTATAAGCAAGCGTGTACACCATTATATTTTATGCAAGAGATAAATATTCACACTTGGACATGTGACATACTTCACTTTTAAAAGTCTATACAGCATTTCTGTTTTCGAGCATGGGAAGGAAAAGAAGAAGGTTATGCAATAATAATATTTGTGTTGTTTTACGATGTCTTACTCTGAAATCCAGAAATCACACAGCTCCTATATATATATAGAGAGAGAGACTTAAAAGGAAAGATATTGAGAAACTGTGACAATTTTCTAAGAGCTAGACTTGAGCTTTCCCTGTTCTAGATCCTTCTGAGTGTAAATACATCCTCTATATCACATTCGCATAGTGGTTTATCTTAGTAGAACTATAAGCTCTGTTCAATACCAGTAAGGTTGTTGGTGAACTCTCAGGAAACGTATATATCTCATTTAATTCTGCTTTATTTGAAGGTTCACGGCTAAAGCGCTACTAAAATCATTCGATTCGATCGCCGTTTCGTTCGTTGAATTAAAAAGAACAACTTCTTGCTCGCGTTTGTTAAATGCTGCCTCGATTTTTGTAAATGGTCATCCACGTCGTAGGTAGATCCATGTTAAATTATGGTTCGTTCGTTGTATAAAACAAATTCAATGTATTTTTTTACCGTTTGTTTTTCTCTCTCTTATTCTTTATGAGTTTTAGCGGATGTTTGTACTGAATCATTCTGTTTTTTTATGTTGTTGTTGTTCGTGGTGGGTTTCTTCAGTAGCTGTTGTGTCGTTTGCATGTGTAGTTTTTCAAATGTAAGGCACTGTCGTGTGTTCATGTCAAACTGGGACTTAATGGCCACATTTTCCCATCAGCTGCAGGAGCCACGTTCATTTATTTTTATTTTTTCCATCATTTTTTATTTTGTTATAAACCCAAACTCATAGCATCAGGATTTAGGTACACACTGGTCATGTCAGTCATGTCAGCTCAGTTTAATTTCTTGAATATATATATATATATACACAAACATTATAAGACCAAAATATTAATTGTTTCTGCAATTTAAACGAAAATAAAACGACTGTTGAGGCAAATTTAGCTGCTACCCTTGAAAGAATTTCAACGCACAACTTCACCTTCATCCTTTTGTCAGCAGAATTGATGCCTTATCCTCTCTGTGTTGTTTTTTTTCAAGCTATGGGAGTACAAAAATATACGTTAAAAAACAAAAATATGTCGTCCAGTAGAGTTCTTATCAGTGCATGCAGCAATGTGAGATGAATCTTATGAGGGCCAGTTGTTGTTCTGGTCTGGATACTAACACGGGTTTTTGTGACGTTTCCCCTCTGTCCTCAGTAATCACATCATGGTGCTATATTCATATATATATATATTTGATAACTCATTGGTTAGGTCTATCATAGGAGAAATAAGTCTGTAATTATAAGTTGGAGAGCCGCTGATTATATCTTCAGATCTGTATTTTTGGATACAAATAGCCGAAATCATTTGTTATAACAATGTAAAGTGAAATTAATGAAATAAAACAAAAAAAAGAACTAACGTTGACCCTCGTTGTATGAAGAGGTGAGGGTGGTGGATTTGTAACTTTTTTGATAGAGTCTGTATCTGGTCTTTGCTTTATTTCTTATGACGAAGATGATTATGATGATGACGTGTGCTGTGATTATAGGGTTTGATAGAGCTTATATGTATATACTTCAAACTGTGGGGGGGGAGCTTTTGTTGGTCAAATTTTATGTTAATTTGTTTACAAGCATTTCAAACTGTTTCCGCATGGCTGTGAAAAATGTATCTGTTGAGTTTGGGGGAAAAAAAAAAGAAATTTTTACACTGAATTAAAAGGTTACTAAACGTTTGTTTGCCTTTTCCTTTTAAAACCATGCTTTTTTGGTACTGTTTGTTTTTTAATCCAACTAAAGTTTATGCTATCCAATTTTGTTTTGAGTTAATTGTTTTTTTAACATTTGTTGAATTTAAATGTCTGAATTTTACCATGCCTCGAGGTTTAAAGGGATGGTTCACGCTAAAGTTTTAAATCGGTCATCATTCACTTGTTTTGAAAGAGTTTCTTCCGTCGAACACTGTTTTTCCTATTATGGAAATTGGAGTCCCAGCAACTGACATTCTTCCAAATATCTTCTTTGTGTTTAACAGATAGTAGTTTCAAACCACTCGATGGAGTTATTATTAGTAAAAATTGAATGAGTTAAAGGTGCTGTATGTAGGTTTTTGTCTCTTCTAAAGCATAAAAATACCATCATATGTTTGCAGATATTTAAGAAGCGTGCTAAATGAACATTCTTGTTTATCTGAAAAACAATGCTGAAGTCAGATATTCTTTTTTTTTTTAAAATGTTTTCGTGCCGGAACGTCTGTCTTTATTTTGGTCATTTTAACCCGCCCAATGCCAGTTTAGCCAATTACATTTCAGCACCCAGGGTTGACTTGGTGGAAAACAGCGTATTTTATTCAGTCATTCATTCATTCATTCATTCATTCGGAAAGGCTCTCAAAGCATTTGCTGGTTGATGAAATGTGACCTCTGGTGGACAGCAGCAGACTCTAAAACAAGATGCAGATTTAGAGTTTCCACATGAGGTTATTAATTATCAAATAATTTAAATATTACAAACGTAACCATTAGGTGGGCAGGTTACACTGTAACCCTGTGTTCTAACACCATGCTACGTGACCATCTTTGCATTGATGAGCAGTTTGGCTGTTTGCACCAGACAAAACACGACAGAAATTTACAGAATAGTGCATTTACTGCACTCCCAACAAAATGGTGAAGATTATAATCTAATTATACATATTGAACCTCTTTAACATTATTAAATGTTTAGTTCAAGTCAGAATTATTAGCCCCTTTGAATATATTTTTTCTTTTTTTTTAATATTTCTTAAATGATGTTTAACTGAGCAAGGACATTCTCACAGTATGTCTGATAATTTTTTTTTTTTTTCTGGAGAGTCTAATTTGTTTTATTTTGGCTAGAATAAAAGCAGTTTTTATTGTTTTAAACACCACTTTAGGACAAAATGATTAGCCCCTGAGTTATATTTTTGTTTGATAGTCTACAGAACAAACCATCGTTATACAATAACTTGCCTAATTACCCTAACCTGCCTAATTAACCTATTAAAGCCTTTAAATGTCACTTTAAGCTGTCTAGAAAAATATTATTTACTGTCATCATAAAATAAATCAGTTATTAGAGATGAGTTATTAAAACTATTATGTTTAGAAATGTGTTGGAAAAAAATCTCTCCATTAAACAGAAATTGGGGGAAAATAAACAGGGGGCTAATGATTCTGACTTCAACTGCATATATATTGTTAAACGAGTATTGAGACACTTTTCTAGAATCTGTGTACTCCTGCATAGAAATTCAGTCACCTCAGACAGACTTTTCATAATATTTAATAACAAAAATCATTTCTGCGTGAAACAGACTTTAACAGCAGGTATATTTCAGTATTTGAGTTAAAAATGTACCATCTTAAAGTCTCACGGAATGAAGCGAAGATACCAGAACAGGCCTACTGTGCAAGATTTACAAGTAAACTCACACCACACGCTTGTTTCAGAGCCGCTCCTCGCTCACATTATTAGCATGTGCTGTTCACAAAGCACTTTAAATAAAACCTTATCAGCTAAAACATTCAGTCAGACAGTGGTTATTGGCTCCCGGTTCACATTTACAAACATTATAAAGCTGGACTTTCTACATTTGACGTTATAAACTGATCATAAACATAAAAGACTCAAATCTGGATTTGTGCTGCTGGAAATCACCCAAACTCGCTCTTGAAGGGTCACCAATACTGCATCAATATCACGCTAAGCGAAGCAAGAAAATATACAGAGATCATTGAAGCTTTCTTTTTTTAAAATAAAAATAATTAAGTTCTAGGCTGTACATTATACAGGAATGTTAAATCAGATATATATATTTTAAAAACACGAGGAAATCAACAGAGGAAAATCTCAAGCAGAATAACACTGGTTTAAAACGTACACGTAAAGGGTTTTCTAATCATGTGCAAGTGGATTTAAAAGACTGACGATGATGGAGAAGAGAGGCATGATGGGATGGAGGAGAAGTGAAGAAAACAACAGAGAGAGACAGAGGCACGCAGGAGGCTCAGAGGTTGCTGAAGAGCTCGTTTCTTTTGCTCCAGTCCATCTGCGGAGCTCTCTTGTTGGAGCGTTTCTGATGAGCGCGCTCTTTAGCCTGCTGAAGAGACATGTTCAGAGCCAGGCCTGCGTCTGCGCTGGAGGCTTTCTCCTTCACCTTCTCCTGCACATACAGTCAGTACAGAACAGTCAGCACTCACTGGAGATAGACTCAGACTGATTCAGTTCTGAGAGTTGAGCCATGTTCAAAGGTATTGTAAAAGGCTTTATTTATTATTATAATTAAGAAGAACCATCATGTACAGAGTTTCATTATACAACAAAAACACGTCAGACAGAAGGATTAAATGAGAAAAGTTATTTAAAAAAAAAGTACATAAATAACCAATTTACATACAAATATATATTTTTCATGTTTAGTTATTTAATAAAAAGTTATCAAATGCAGTTTTACTACAGAAAACACATGTAAAATACTCTACAAACATAAAGCTCTAGTAGCGAGTCTAAAGCCCCGGGTAGATCACACGAATTTGTTACGATTTCCTTGATGTAGGGTGTCGTGGGGGTTCGTAAATGACAAATAAACATCATGACACAAGATTCAATCCTTTTTTTCTCGTGTAATGTGGCATAGTTCACAACAACTGATACCATGCCTGCGATGCCTCACGACACCATCGCAGAAAGTCTCTCATGTTTGATTTTTTTCTCGTTTTTCGCGAAGAGTTCCATCATGAGGGCGACACTGTAATTTGAGTACATAATTTTCAGTTATCTCTGCGGATGCTGCCGTTCATGCGCCCGTCAGGTAATCAGAATATAGGCTGCATATTTACTTATGGGTGGGTCATGGGTATTTACTTTGGGTATTTACTACATTGTGCGCGTTTATTTACTCGTGTAAATTTATATTCATTCAGTTCAATTTCATTATAATTATTAACTAGTATGAAAATATTCATATCATTTATTTACTATACAGCTTGTAAAGTATTATTTTCTGTCTTTTAGTAGATATTATACGAGAGACTTGCTTTGTTTACCAAATGAAGGCGATCTAATGTAATTGGATTTGCATTTTAAACATTAAATACAAGTTAAAAAGGTATTATTTTATGTCATAAATTAAGGTTTTAGTTATGATACTACTAAAATAATTCTGCATAAATACGCAGATTTTTAACAAAATTCTGCACAGAAATAGCAAAAAATGTCTGCAGATTCTGTCTGGTCCTAGTCATGAGTGGATAAGGTCAATCATTGTTTCTGCAAACTTTACCTTTTCTAAAATATTAAGGTGTTTTTTTTTGTGTGTTTTTTTAAGCAATTTTATCTGGCAAACTGGCACAAATATGCAGACATCTCCATTCTCACAACGAGTTTCTGAGTTCTCTCATAATTCCAACAGAGTTAGCTTATCTGAGGTGATCTGGGAACATGTTCAGTGCTGTGAATATAACGCAAAAGCATTTCCTGCTTATTCTAATTTGTCATTAATAGTGAAAACAGTTTAATACAGCCTTCTCTGAAACTCTGAATATTTCACTTTTTTTATTTAGACTAGATTATTATTTTATTTAACAAACCAACACATCCTCTGTGGAATGGAAAAGTTGTGACCTCAAACCTCAAATGTTATTCAACATTCTTGTTTATAGATAACTGACCAAGCAAAGACACAGTAAAATTAAGATAAAAAATAATAGCAAACAAAATTTGTTTTAAAAACATATTTTTTCCAAAAAAATATACAAATGATATTTTAAATCAGGATTTAATGAATTCCCTCTCTGTGATTGTTTTATCACAAAACTCAGTTTTATATTTGCTAATTTTTTAAATGTCATTATTCATCTCACTCACGGAGAGGAAGTGTTTAATTAACTCGTGGCAGGAAAATATACGTTTAGATTTCAAAAAAAATATCCTGATATTAAAAAGGAATCATAGGTTTGATCCTATCCTTGTTGTAATGCCCTTAAATAATGGAGTTATTCATGGTCTGCAAGCATCAGTGTTTATTGAGACTGAAATAAGATTTTAAAAAGTTTGAAATTGAGATCAGAAATGACCATTATTATACTATTATTATATTATTATTATTATATCAACACTTGTGACTGCTTTGGAAAATAACGCTTGTAGATGTCAAGGGATGACTGATTGTGAAGGAACCTGTAGTCTGGCACATTGGTACCCACGACAAGTCAAGATTTTATCAAAAAATAAATGAAAATAAAAGAATTAATAAAAAAAGAAAATTTGCATAATCTGATGTAGTGACTTTCATAACTGACAATAAAAATCGTGTGATCTGACCGGGGCTTAAGAAACTGCTTTACTTGCTTTGTTTTATTTGGTGAAGCCTCGCTACATGTATGAAATAACCATTATATAAAAGATGTGAAGGCTGCTCTTGAAGATCTGCCATCACAAAAACACTTTATGAATATTTTGTTTTGAATCAGAGACTCGAAGAGCGCAACACATTGGCATGGTCACATGACTACAGTAAACGTCGGCTTGGTTATGCCATCATAACTGGTTTGAAACGTGTCTTCACAGGTTTGATTAAAATGTACAACAGAACTCATTATTCAGATCATTATTATTTTGGTACACTACTCTTGTTTGGATAAACTCAATTTTCAAAGATTTCAAAAGCACTCAAAATAAAACTCAGCCTCTTATAAACCTCATCCAAGGATTTATAGTAAAACATTCTATAATTGTTTTTGCACACTGCTTACATTTAATTAGTCACAGTTTTACAACAAATAACACTGATAAACTGTGTAGTATAGAAAAACCTGATTTTTTTTTTTACATTATATTCAAAAAAATATATTCAACTTGGCACCTAAAGACAAGCTCAGCATATTGATCAAGAATAATTGTGATTATGATCATCTATATTACAGGTTTCTTACTGTAGTGACATTTTGAAAAACCTTGATATTTGAACTTTATCTAAATGTACAATCCAAAATTTCATTGGCTGTTCCGCTTTAGGTGGGGAGGCGCCACCTAGTGGAGGATCGCGAGCAGGTGTCATAGATTTACCAGTCTGTAGTTTTTAATTTTGAGAAGCAAAAAACAGTGTTTTAATAAAAGTTCATGTTGCCCTGTTTAGCAGAGCCTAAAGTAGGCCTAGAACAAAACATATTTAACCTTTAAAAATTGATTAAAATGCACATTTTATGTACGTGTTAATATTAATGATATTAGTTGATAGGCTGAGTGCTTTTGATTTGGTTATACTTTCAACTGAACATCTGAAGAGTGTATGGAAAATCCTATATTAATGTAAGCTTTGAGTTTACACAGTTTGAACATCAGGATGTGGTGTTTCAAATGCTTTGAATCAGTGAATCATTTTACCAAGCAATTGGTTCAATTATTTCAAAGCTTTCTCTACTGTGAAACCTTAGCTTACAGTGAATTCATAACTGCTCCGCATTTTCCTAACGCCTGCCTCTAACTGTACTACATGACTGTAAGCCACAGCTTGATTGATGCTTCAGTATGGAGATATGGAGTGTATATGGACACACACATACCTGTGGTGCAGCAGCCATGGCTGGAGCCGGAGCTGATGCTGGAGCCGGAGCTGATGCTGGAGCCGGAGCTGATGCTGGAGCCGGAGCTGCAGAGGTGGAGGTGTTAGAGGAGGTGCTGGAGCTCGACAGACTCATTTCTACTTTAGGCTTTTCCTCCTGGACAACTTTTCCATTCACCTGAAACAAAGCATTTAATGGAGTGTAAAGATGTGCACTGTTGGTACATTTGGTCCATTCATTCATTCATTCATTCATTTATTCATTCATTTTCTTTTCAGCTTAGTCCCTTCATTAATCTGATGTCGCTACAGCGGAATGAACCGCCAATTTATCCAGCATATGTTTAATTAGTCCTCTCTCTACATACAGTTGAAGTCAGAATTATTAACCCCCCTGATTTATTAGCACCCTGTTTATTTTTTCCCCAATTTCTGTTTAACGGAGAGAAGATTTGTTCAACACATTTCTAAACATAATAGTTTTAATAACTCGTTTCTAATAACTGATTTATTTTATCTTTGTCATGATGACAGTAAATAATATTTAACTAGATATTTTTCAAGACACTTCTATACAGCTTAAAGTGACATTTAAAGACTTAACTAGATTAATTAGGTTAACTAGGCAGGTTAGAGTAATTAGGCAAGTTATTGTATAACGATGGTTTGTTCTGTAGACTATCGAAAAAATATATAGCTTAAAGGAGCCTTTTAAATGGTTCATAAAAAATAAAACATTGCTTTTATTCTAGCCAAATTAAAACAAATTACAGTTTCTTCACAAGAAAAAATATCAAACATACAGCGAAAATTTCCTTGTTCTGTTAAACATTATTTAGGAAATATTTAAAGAAGAACGCTTTTATTTGATACAACATCAAATGAAATGAGGAAACAGGATTTTAGATGAACACTTTGATTTATAGTTTTCTTCAACGTTTTAAATGATGATAACTGTAATGCAAAAGCTTCAGTTCTGTCCTCTAGATGGACCCTGAGCTCTGTTTACATGCAGCGGCCTCTGGGTCAGTTCCAATATCCGCACATGTGATCTTCAGAGCGTGTGCACGAGACAGGAAGACAGTCTGCAAAACTGTCCCAGGTCTGATCAAATCCAGCAGTATCTGACGTTAACTGTCTCCAATCATTGCTCATTTACAGGATCTCATGTGCTCAGAAATCAAGAGATCCCAAGGCAACTTTACAGTTTAAAGTAAACTGAAGATTACATAAAATGAATACACCTCCAAACAAACTCAAACCCAAAATCAAACAAAGTGCTCAGGGGTAGCTTTAATAATGTGTCTGTGCTCTTTGGTTAAGGGATTCATCACAATAAACAGCAAAAATCAGTCCAGGGCACTCGAAAAATGTGAAAAAAGATATTTCAAAGTCTTTATTCACATGGCTAATCCTTAAAAAAACCTACGAGTTACAGCAAAAAAAAAACTGCCTTCATCAGGGCAACAGTGCTCAGGTGCTTCAGGAGTTTTTTGTTTTGGACTACAGTCTCATGTAAAGAACATTTAATAAGGGTAAACACCAGACGCAGGTAAACAGCAGTTATTATATCATCCCAAACAACTTTGGCTCCATCTAGGGGGTTAAAATTCTTATGAATTTCCAAGGCATTTGTAAAAACCAAAATACAATACAACACAAATTAAAACAATTAAAGATGCAAAAACTTCTCAATTTTAACCTTTAAAATGTTCTTCTGAAATAAGCAGCTTTCTCAGACTCTTGGGTGCAAATTCAGTCATTTTATTTTATGGCAATTAATTGGATAATTTCACTGCCTTTAATTAGAAAAAACTGAACAAAAACACAGGGGGTTGAGAAAAATGTTCATTCTATAAGCAAACGTTAGAGGTTTTTGCATCTGAATTCTACATTTGTATATTAGTCTGATGTTTTGTTTTACATTTATACAAAAAATAATATTTACCCACTGAAATATTTCATATAGAAATATTATACATTTCAGAGCAGAGCATGAAGGCATTTATATTTAATACAGGTCAGATTTTTTTAGCTATTTCATATATCACTGACCACTTATAAATTTGATATTTCAAGCAAAATTTCTAGTTTGTTGCACTCGATAAGAAACTTATTTTAATTGTAACTTCTAAAGCTTTGATGAGCAAAATGCCTACAAATGAAATGTAATTAAAACGTCTGCAATATTAATAGAATATGAGATTAAATATAACTCCAGAAATGCTTCACAAACTCAACTCAAACATTCCAGATCAATGAATACAATGTAATAAAGAGATAGGAACTCCATATCGATCCTTATAGGTGTTTTTTGGTTGAACATTTTTGGGGGGGAAAAAAAGTTCTAAATTTTTTATCCTTGGTTTTAAAAAATAATATTCCCAAATGTCCAAAACTTTTATACACTAAATATTTTTCCTGTTACAAGCTCTAGAAAATTATAATTTTAAAATACAAAGCCCTCCTTTTAAACAATGCTTGCAAGAATTGTCTCATTGTTTGGCATTAGGAAAAGTAACACCACAGCGGAATGAACCGCCAACTTATCCAGCATATGTTTTATGCAGCGGATGCCCGTCCAGCTGCAACCCATCACTGGGAAATACCCATACACGATCATTCACACCCATACACTATGGCCAATTTAGCTTACCCAATTCACCTAAACCACATGTCTTTTGTAATGTGGGGGGAAACCCACACGAACACGAAAAGAACAAGAAACTCCAAACAGGAATGCCAACTGACTGAGGCTCGAACCAGCGATCTTCTTGCTGTGAGGCAAGAAGTTTGAGCTTAAAATTAACTGAATTTTAAAGTTGATTACATTTTATCGAGACTGAAAAGAGTCATTCCTAATCAATGAAATATAATACAGTAAATCATAAATAAACACATTTACACCTAATATTGGATATCTAAAGATATTTAAAAATTCAAGATTTAAAAGTCAACCTCACTGTAAAAAAATGATATAATCAATAAGTCATGTTTTTAGTAAGTTGTAACTTATTACACTTCAAAAATTAATTGTATGAGTTCTGCAAGCTGTTTTAAGTCAGTTTAATAGAAGTTCAAATGACTCATACGGTTCATTAGATTCAGCTTAAAACTTTAAGGCAACCAGTATTTTTCTTTTTACATTGAGTACGTTTACATACACCAATAATCCGAATTGAATACAATTAAGACAATACTCAGATTAAGAGTCACACATGTGAACAATGATTTTTTATTACCCTAATGTGAATAAAGTCATAATCGAACTAAACAGAAATGGAATTAAGACATGTGGAGTATGCGTAAACACCTTAAATTATTACCATCGTGTTTGATTTTCGCCGCATTTTGCATTTTACATACACGACTGTTTGACACTATTCTCTACACCCACCCAGTCAGAGAAGGACCACAGACACCTGCATCAAAAAATGTAAAGTTTTTTCCCCCATTAGGTGTGCGGCATCAAATTCCATTAAAACAACCCATTTCTAGCAGTTCATACTCGCATCCAATATCTCATTTGTCACTGAGGGGCATGCATGAACTGTTCCTGAATGAAAGTGAAATTGCCAAACTGCAGTTAAGGTCGACAAATTAAGAATGAAACACTCAAAATGACATGAAACTCTGGATAAAATGTGGATATCGTTGTGATGCAGTGACGTAATCAAATGATGTGCTTTAACATGTGAAACTGGGTCATGAAAGGAACATTCAAAAAGCACCTCATGTAAACACCTTAATCATATTATTATCTTATTCAGATTAAGGCAAATCATTTGATTACAGATGTCCATGTAAAGTCATTTTGGACACTATAAAACAGATTTTTTAAATGAGTAAATATACTTCCAATCCTAGAAAATTCATTAAAAGTAAAGCATTCATGATTGTGTTGCTGTAGATAAGAAGCTGCAGAATTCTGCATTTAGCCCAGATTATAAAATTCAGTGGGAAAAATGTTGGTTTAACTTTTCAGAGACATTTCATGAGCAAGTTTGACATACAGAAACATTTAAGAAATATTTTGCACATTAACTCCGTCATCTTCTGAGAACTGATGTAAAGCACATGATTCACAAATCTCAGATAGATTTACAGCACTCAGACTCTCCGCCAGGAAGCCTTTATCAGAGCCAGAGAAACGTCTGAGGATGAAGAAAAGGCAAGCGGAGCCAGGTTTAGTGCTGGATAACCTTACAGGTTTATCTACGAGCAGATAGCTGGTGTGAGAGCTAGCATTAGCAGTTATCTGTTTCAGGTTATCCTTCTGTCTCAGCAGGAGTAACACTGATAAAGGAGAGCTGCTGGAGAAAAGATTCAGGACCATGCAGTAAAAGTGGCCTGAAATCTGGTTATCAGACAGCGCAGATTTACTGTCATCCGCCTAATCCCATCACTGACGCTCAGACTCCTTATCAGCCAATCAGACCTGATTATGTACATTTAGCACATTCACAGAAATAAAGCACATCGCACACCCAGTTTTGGAGAAGTGTAGAGGTTTGCATGAGAGGTATGAAGATATGTGCACTGGATATTTTTTTTAGAAAGAGCAGCAGTGTGTGTGTGTCAGATGTTTCTCACCTGCTCTTCTGCTTCACGTCTGGGAATAGGCTCTGGAAGTGGACCTGGAGAAACACAAACATACCGTCATCTGACCCATAAAAACAAGTCTGCAGTCAGAATTGATAGCCCTCCTGAAATATTAGCCCCCCATATTCTTTCCCCCAATTTCTGATTAACAAAAAAACCAAAACAAATTTAACACATTTCTAAACAGAATAGTTTTAATATCTAATATCTAATAACTGATTTCTTTTATATTTGCCATGATGACAGTATATAATATTTGACTAGATATTCTTTAAGATGCTAGTATTCAGCTTAAAGTAACATTTAAAGGCTTAACTAGGGTAATTAGGGAAGTTAGTGAACTATATTAAACTGGAGAGACTCATTTATATCATTAAAGGCAAGCAGAAGGACTTTGACTATCTTTGGCAAGCATATATTAATATTAGGGATGTGTATTAGGAAAATTGGGCCCGATCACGCAGTTTCAGACTTGATTGGAATTGGACATTACCTCATGATCAGGATTCTCATTATTTTTTTAACACCTCTATAGTTATGCGGTGGCACAGAGCTAGACCTCTTTCTTGACTTCACACAGAAACAGCAGCGCATGCGGTATGACATCACTTTGTTGCAGAGACGCTATTGATTAAATGACGGCAAAGTAGAACACGGAAGCAGCTTGAAGTGGAAAGCACTAGTATGTCTGCGGTCTGGAGGTATTGTAATGAAGACAACATTGCCAAAACAAACTGTGAGGTATGTAAATTTGGGATTGCTTGCCAGGTATTTTAAGTTGAGGTGCTGTTTGTTTTTATATTAGATGTTATTAAATTTACTGTTGCACTAAAGTCCAAAAGTAAAGATTTGATGTTATTTATTACTTGATAGTTCAAGCTACCTCACAGAAGTGCTCTGTTTGTTATGTTTGAATGTTCAAATAAGGTGAATTAAATTAAAATAAGGAACATCCTGGATTTTGTTTCTTCACTCTTCTTTATTCTTTTCTGATGTATTATAGAAGTATTAAAGTTTCAGTATTGGCATATACTCGAAATCAACTGACAAGGGCAAAAAACCTGATTGAGACATCCCTAATGAATATTATGTAAATTGAGTGTTTGTAATCATGTATTTTCTTTTTCTATTGTATTATTTTTTTGTTATTTTGTGTCATTATGTATTTTTAAGTGGATCAATTCATTATTTTTATTTACTTTTTATTTATTTTTTATTTTTATTTACTAATTTTATTTTATTTGTTTTAGTTATGCCATTTAAATGTATATCTATATACACTGCACAGCATTTATATACAAGTACACCCCTCACAATTCTCTCTTTTAAATTCATATTTTTATTAGAAAGCTAAACAATATTATATTTGTGCATGTACATTAGATTAGTCAGTACTGAAGCCAAACCTGGATCTAATCTAACACAGTAACTTACAATAATGGTCCAAAATCTAGTACAAACAAGTTTATGTCATAGAAAAATATAACACTGAAATTTAAAAAATTGGAAAAATCAAGAAAAGCCCAAAAAAAATTTAAGATTCAGTTGAAATTTTGTAGGTTGTAATTTTCTTTTGCAATATTTTTCTTGAATTTAATTGCATAATTTTTCGATTTCTTAATACGATTGGTGACTAAAATATTATTTTAATAAATATATCCGTTTTAAAAATCTGTTTTGTTTAAATGCACCAAAATACATTGCCTGTATTGACTGAGAAATGGATCAAAATATTCATCTTCAAAATGGACTGTACTCAAATATTCTGAGCACTGTACATATATAAGAAGGGTGTGGACGTGTGCTGTTTTGTAGGCTGCATTGTTATTGTATGCCTAGTTGATGGGGGTGAAAGGAAAAAAAAAAATCAAACATATTTGGAAAAAAATAGGCAAGTTAAGGGTAATTATGCAAGTCAATGTATATCAATGGTTTGTTCTGTAGACAATCTGAAAAAATATACATTTCTTAAGGGGGTTAATAATATTAAAATGCTCTTTAAAAATTTTAAAAACTGTTTTTATTCTAGCCAAGAAAAAAATATTATAGGAAATACTGTGAAAAAACCTCTTGCTTAGTTTAATATAATTTAAGAAATATTTCAAAAGGAAAATTCACAGGAGGGCTGATAATTTTGACTCTAGCTGTATCTGTGCATTCATTTTACTTTAGTTCGCACTCTGCTCTTGGCTATTTTGGTTCAGACCACAAAAAAAAACAAAACAAAAAAAAAAAACGGTCACGCTCATCTTTAAAACCAAGATGCAAAACATGGTTTTATGATCTATATTTGTAATCGACTGCTGTGTGCTCAGCAGAACGAATGCATTTGTTGTGTATTAATGTGATGGTATTGGAATCATTTGTGGAAACTTGTAAAACAAGTCAAAACAGCCATCAGGACGTAACGTCACATGCTCATGCACACACGCACAGGCATACACAAAAGTTTTATGGCCTCCTCAGTGACATCATATCCTGTTGTCGTTTATTCATCTTTAGTCATGTAATTAATCAGCAAAAAATACTTCTAGAATCAGAAACATTTGTTAAAGTTACTATCTGTAGTTTTACTTTAGCCTTGAAGACAATTGTCATTTTAATTTAACATTTTTACCACAATTTCATTTTGAGAAAAAGAGCTTCTCACTTCCAAGTTTGAGATCCTCTACACAATCAAAACTCAAAAAAAAAAAATTATGTTACAAACTTTAAATATGGTATAATCAGTTTTTAATATTTATTATTTCTCCTGCACAACCATATAAAAACATTTACGAAACATAAAGCATGAACAAACATTTTCATTCATTCATTCATTCATTTTGCTTCAACTTAGTACCTTACTTATCAGGGGATGCTACAGCGGAATGAACCACCAGCTACTCAAGCATTTGTTTTACGCAGCGGATGCCCTTTCAGCTGAACCCCAGTGCTGGGAAACACCCTGAATGAAAGTTTTATGCACACTAATTTTCCATGTACAGTTGAAGGCAAAACTATTAGTCTTCCTGTAAATCTTGTCATTACTATTTAATCAAATAGTAGAAACGTACGCCAACACGAGGAGAACATGCAAACTACACAGTAATGCCAACTGACCCAGCCAGGGTTTGAACCAGTGACCTTCTTGCTGTGAGACGACAGTGCTAACCACTAAGCCACCGTGTCACCACCTTGGAAATGTTTGAAAAATAAATAAATTTCACATATGAGCTAATAACTGCCTCCATCTGCTGAAAATTGACATCAATATGTGTGAATAAAGGGAACAGTATGACTTTTTCCATTGACTCCTACTGTATAATGTGATAAACAGTTCTGCATGCTTTGATGTGAGATCCAGTCATTCTGCCAATCACTGCTATTAACTAAAAAAGCCACTGCCCAAAGGGTTTAGAATCACAGCACAATGGCTGGACAGAGTTTCCTTCCAGGAAAAACAGGAAACAGGCAAAAGGCCTTTTCATATTTGAATGAGAGTTGGGAAACATGGCTGTTGTGACAGAAATTATGAATAAAAGATGTGTGTGGGAGCAGCGGTCAACATCCTTTCACTCAAACTCCAACAGCCTCCAGACAAGCTTCTTTGAACGTCACCATTTTGCCAGTCATTCACTAAATAAATCTTTTTTTATTTTTCACCTGTTTCGCCATTTACTTCAAAAAGCATCTAGGTCAGGAGTGTCTGTCTTTCTGTCTGTTTGTCTAACTAACTAACTAACTAACTAACTAACTAACTAACTAACTAACTAACTAACTAACTAACTAACTAACTAACTAACTAACTAACTAACTAACTAACTAACTAACTAACTAACTAACTAACCAAAAAACAAATCAACCAAGCAAGCAACCAACCACCTAACCATCCAATAAACAACCATCCAACCAACCAACTAACTAATTAACTAAATAAATATAAATGTGCCAGAAAGAACCAAAATCCTTTTACAGTAAGGCCACTAAAGAATCCTTTTTTGGTTCCGTAAAAAACCCTCTAATGAAAATGTCTTCAAAGTTGTTATTATTTTATTCATTTACAATAGATTTGAATAATCTAAAGTATCTTTTTCCACTTTAAAGATGAATACACAATCAAAAATTAAAGTCCAGTTCATAAGTTTTATAGGGATAGTTCACCCTTGACTTGTTCCAACTCTGATTGAGTTTTTGTTTTATTTTTAAACACAAAAGCAGAAATTTTGAAGAATGTTGGAAAAGGGTAACCATTAACATCCATAGCAAGAAAAACCTAAATGACTAATGGTTACCGCTTTCCAGCATTGTCTAAAATATCTTCTTTAAAAATATCTCTGTAACTAATGCCTTATGTAATATCCCTTTTAATGCTTTTAAAGAGCATGACAAGACAATGTTGGGGTGGCACGGTGGCTCAGTGGGTAGCACTGTCGCCTCACAGCAAGAAAGTTGCTGGTTCGAGCCCCGAATGGGTCAGTTGGCATTTCTGTGTGGAGTTTGCATGTTGTCCCCGTGTTTGGTGGGTTTCCTCCGGTTTCCCCCACAGTCAACAACCCATCTTGTAAAAACTAGATGTTACGAAACACCAACATGGTGCACATATCAACTTCAACATAAACAGCCCTGGGAGTCAGTATTACAATGTTGGTCTCATTTTAGATAATTTTTGTGCTACTGAAAGAAAATTTAACAACACAATAAAACAAATAATATCTATTCAAATGAAATAAATATTAAAATCAAATATTTTTTGCAGAAAAAGTAAAGACCTGTTTAGAGTTATTCATGACCTACAACACAACACTTTCGTGAATTTCAGAATTTACTTTTCAAATTTTAGCTTTTTTTAAGCCTCCTGCAGAAACAGTATTTTTTATTTTATTTTACTGTTTGCACATTATGTTTGGCCAAGTATCATTAATAATAATTGTATAAATACACTAAAGTTTAACACATTTGTCTCTGGAAAAGGACATTTTCCCTGATCTGGCCTTTAGCTTTTTTGCTGTATTAAATATGCTGTTATTCTGGCTCATATCTCAGTGGTGTGGCTGCACTGCCAGCATGTGCTGTTTGCCCGTCTAGCTCAATTTGGGATGGGGGGTGGTTGACTTTCCCCATTCCTCATACTGTTGCTGTGGTCATGATCACCATGACGACACAGTGGCAGTAAGTGTTGACTTTAGCTGATGCTCTCTTGTACAGACAGTGGCACCGCAGGCCTCAGGTTGATGTTTAACTAGCAGTCTGTTACTATGTGTCAAATCATTTGACAAAGTGAACAGGAGTTACATCTGATCAGCAAAAGCACACTAATTGTCAATGATAAAATAATGCAGATCAAAAAAGAAGGTTAAAGGAATAGTTCACCCTAAAAAGAATATTGTTTACTCGCCCTTCACTTGTTCAAAACCTAATCGAATTTCTTTCCTTTGTTGAACACAAAAGGAGATATTGTGAAAACGCTGGCAGCTGGCACGCACTGACTTTCAAAGTAATGTTATTCCTACTATGGAAGTCAATGCTGTGTCCTAATTCTCATACCATCCATCCCGAAAAGTATTCGAAAATAGAATTAGTGTCCCAAATCAAAGTATGTCGAGATGATCATTCCAATGTTACCCAGGTGGTTCATGCATACTCTAAGGGCTAATAATGCCCACAATATATAGCAAAGTTGACGTGAATTTGACTCGTTTTAGAACTACAAACGGGGGTAAAAAATGTTATCAAACTACAAACATGGTGGACACAAGACAAGGCGTTATGTGTTATGTCTAAATTTTGTTGTCTATATTGAGGTAATGTCTATGTGTTGTGCGATAAGCGAGTCGATATATTGATTATTGTGACAGGCCCACACAAGATTAACTGTAAGACTTTCCAGTATGTGTCGCTATTGTGTGCATATGTATATTATTAAAGATAGATGTTATTATGCTTCAGAGTATTTGAAGAACAAATATAAGTATGTATATTTGCCATGTAAGTTTAAATGCAGGCACATTTATGTTGTATTTTCATATGTGTCATAACTCTGATAGATTATAGATATGTGTGTGATAGGTTGTGTCTGTGTATAAATCAAGACGCAAGTTTAATTTTTTTTTCTCTCAGGTATTGTTCGGGGCCGGTACGCTTGCTGGTTTATAACCTACTAGCAACTTAAATAAACGAGGAAGAAAGTCGAAGTTTGACAGACTAGTGTAACGTCAGTAATCAGGCAGTCTACTTTTTAGGACAAACATTGTGTATGTGTACGCAATAAAAGTTCGAGAACAGTGGCTCGAGTTGTATTGTACTTGCCCTGAAGCCCTTCCAGTGTGGAGTTTATTGAGGTACAGTGAGTAACTTGATAAAAACTGGACACTAACACAGCATCCCAAATATCACAGTATACACTATACACTATACACTTACATACTCAACAGCAAAGTATATTATTTTATTGTCATCCCAAATAGAACAGTAATGTTTTTTTTACCAACCGGAAATTCAATTGTTTCCCTTATGATGTTTGACGGTTGGCAAATTTGTAAAAAATGACTAAACTACCAAATTGTACCTGCCATGAGTGTAAGGTGGCATAACCCTCTATTTAAGAAAATTTTGCTTAAACAATCCAATACAAATAAAGTAATCCAATGTTAATACCTGATAGCTCCGCCTTCTTCGCTATTTGATTGCGTGAAGTGTCCAACATTCCACACTTATTTTTAACAGTTGAATAAGTGAATCATGCGGGTATTAAAAGAGCACTTATTCTTTCTAGAATAAAAATAATATTTCACCGTGAATGCACTACGTACACTATTTATATTACAAAATAGTGTAAATAATGCTTAAAGAGCCCCTATTATGGGTTTTTGAGAATGACCTTGCATGTAGTGTGTAACACAGCATTAAGTGAAGTGAAATATCCATCTAAGGCAGGGATGGGCAAACTTGATCCTTGAGGGCCGGTGTCCCAACACTAGTCAAACACACCTGAACAAACTAATCAGTGTCTTCAAGATCACTAGAAATCTATAAGCAGGTGTGTTTGATTAGAGTTGGAGCTAAACTGTGCAGGACACCGGCCCTCCAGGACCGAGTTTGCCCACCCCTGATCTAAGGCTTAAATCTAAAAGTGCACAGTGTTTAAAACTATTGATTCATTTATAAAAGAGTCGACTCAAAGTGCTTCAAATTAATCGTCTTGATAATGAGTCTTTAGCCAATTCGGTGTGACGTCGATACGAAACTTAAGCCTCGCCCAATTGTTGCGTGCACAAACCTGGGAAAATTTTAATCTGCGGCCCCCCCACAAACATTTCAGCAGGTCCCGGTTAAATCAAGTCATGTAGATGCTGTGCTCAGCTGGATATTACTGAAAATGTGAGGGAAAGTTAGTGTTATTTTCTCTACCCAAAGATGAAGCTGTGAAGAGTCGGTGGTTGAAGTTTATTTTTGCAAAAATACCTCAGCATTATAGCCCAGCCTTGTGCTGTTTTTCTGACGAGTGCTTCTGCAATCTACACGCTTACAACAGGGGATTAGTCAGCCGTTTGTTAAAGGAAGGATCAAAAAAGACTATTGATGTATGGGACTTTGTCAGAGCTTGACAGGAACTTTATAGACACTCTCAGCTGTTCCTACACACGTGCAGCAGTCAAGCTTCAAAATAGTTCAGCTTTTGCCACTGTGTGGATTAATACTGAATGTGTGTCATAGTTAAGAATAGAGCAATATGCTGGGGTTTAACTGCATTGCTTTAATGCACTTCTGCATTGGGCTCTCACAACATCTGTCCCTGAAAATCTGGAGACTGGGGGTTAGGTTCGGGGTGAGGTGTCTGAATACCACTGTTGAGAACTGAGTACTGTTTACTGTGGTGTTAGTAACTACTATGAAGCATGTTTTGGGTGGCCGCTGCGGCCAATGTTGGTGACCCGGGAGTTTTTCAGACCGTACCAAAATGCGTAGGACCAGGGTGGGTGTTTGAGATTGCGGGAGTTTTCCAGGATAAATAAAAAAAATTGGGTAGAGATGGTTTTGGGAACAAATGAATCGCTAAACAAATCATATGGAAGTCGCTGGGATAATTATGAAAAATTGCATATTATAAGACAATGAAAGTGTTTTTGACCTTGCAAGCATATCAGACTGTCGACGGAGACCCTTAAAGCCTAAATATGACCCTTTTTAATATATAAAAGGGGCTCTTTAAGTATGCGATTTGGGATGCAGCTAAAATTAGTCAATCAGTCTTTATTCATTTCCCAAAAGCAATTCGGTTGCAGCATACAAGCATGTTACACATAATACTGAAAAACACATTTAAATCTACCTTAAATTCAAAAACTTTACAGCTAAGTGGATAAATGAAAGTTTGAACCGATTTGTTTTACTATAATAGGAATACCAGTGTCAAATACCAGAAGAGAGAAGATAAAATTCATGGTGCATCGGATGAGAATGATCTGACAGAATACTCTGAGGTTTACTCAAAACTTGTCTGTAGTATAACTGAGCTATAGTCATGTTTTCTCCCTGTTATTTTTCCTCCTAGGTTCACAATTTTTTTCCAAACAACTCATCATTTACTTAAGTGAAGAGGCTTGCTTCGATAAAGATATTTGAATGACAATATCTGACCAACTGGAAATTATTTGAATGCATGTTTTCCACATTATTTAATCTACAACAACAATGTGAAGAGCTGTTTGGCCATTAACTTCTTATTAATGCAAAATTATGCAAAAACCTGAGAAGATTTTCCTACATTAAAGACTCACAAATAGCATATTAACAGCCAGAGAAGATATCTGACAGGGCACGAAGTCAAGCTACATAATGGTCAGTTAATGAGGAAGGAATATGTCCTATAGCTTGTATACTGTATAATTACACAATCATAAGCACGTACCTTTTATTCACAAAAATATACATACTTTTAGGGCATAGTACAAGTGAGATATTGGGAATGCAGCAAATAGGACTTTTCACAATACCAAGTAACTCATAAAGGCTTAAAACCACACGAAAGGAAGTAAATAATGAGGTATTTTTTTATTTTTGGGTGTACTGTCCCTTTAATTTGTCCCTCTGTACCTGTGAGATGCTCCTCGGTTGGCAGGATTTCACAGCTCATGAAGAAAGCGTCTGCTTCTGGATCCACCACTAGAAGTTTGGTCTCGTCTCCTCCTGCTTTAATGGCCGCCACCACTTCTGAATGCTGCATAGTGTGCACAGAAATACCATTGACCTGTGAAAACAATACAATGTTAATTCATCCCCTTTAAAACTGGGAGAGAGAGAGTCTTCAGTGATAAGGAGGAGCTGTGGAACATGTGTGGAGGAAATTTATTTTGAGTTTCTCAGTTCGCATGATCTGTTTTTTTTTTTTTTTGATGAGCTATATTAAAAACTAGTATATTTTCTAATCATAAAAATAGTTTAGTTATTGTATGTTATTCACATTTTATTAGTAATTCATTAGTCTTTTTTTCATTCCTTAAAAAGCAATGAATTAATTTGAACGTATTATAAACGCAATGCAATAAATGCATGCATGCATTTATTTATAAACTGCAATTACATCAACAAAATATTATGGTGTAAAAATAAAAATTCACTATCCTGTGTTATGTAGTTCATGTTTTAAAATTATTTGATTGGTAATTTGTTAGTTAATTGAAATAAATTGCATAATAAACATAAAAATCAAAGAAATAAACTCAATTTAGGTTTTATTCATTGCAAATTGGTGGCACGGTGGTGCAGTGGTAAGCACTGTCGCCTCACAACAAGAAGCTGCTGGTTCGAGTCTCGGCTGGACCAGTTTGAATTCCTGTGTGGAGTTTGTATGTTCTCTCCGTGTTGGCGTGGGTTTCCTCCGGGTACTCCGGTTTCCCCCACAGTTCAAAGACATGCGCTATAGGTGAATTGAATAAACTAAATTGGCCATAATGTATGTGTGTGCATGTGAGAGTGTGTGGATGTTTCCCAGTACTGGGTTGCAGTTGTGTAAAACATATGCAGGATAAGTTGGCTGTTCATCCCGCTGTGGTGAGCCATGATGAATAAAAGGATTAAGCCAAAGGAAAATTAATGAATGATTATAGTTAGTAAATAAAAAAATTAATGTAAAAGCAAAATTCCAATTAACAGTAAATTGAATTACATCTAAAAAATAATAATTATTGTATTCTATTCACTTCTATTTATACATTAGTAAATCACATTTATTACAATTACATTAAACAAATTTTTAGTATTACCATTTAACTAACATTTACCTACAATTTAAGTCAAATTATTATTTTCTGACCTGCACTTTTTTTTTGTCTATTATTACTTAATTACTACTTTTTACATCAGTGCAGTTCGAATAAAAACTGACAATACAAAAGAGAATTTATGACAAACCCTACACAAAACAACAGAGTTTATCAGCAAGCCACATCAAATTTCCTTTCTCCAGCCCTGCTCATTTGAAGTACTAATGATTCAACAGAAAGACTAATCCCATGACCTTTGTTCCCAAAGAGGAGACACCTGGGAAAAGAGTGATCTTCTGTTGGTCAATCCCATAATGCCCTAGCCTAAGGAATCTGTGTGGGAGATTCAGGGCAGGAGTGGGTATTCAGGAATGCAGATCCCACACACCCGTTCAGCAGGCAATTAAAACACAGCCGACAAACAACAGCTCTCTTATGAGTGCCTTTAGCACAGCACACACACACCAAGAGGCCATTAGGCCAAGTAAAAAAAAAACAAAAGAGAGAGAATTTACTTCATCGAGGATGGTATGATTTTATCCTTAAATAGGTAAATTAATGTCCTTAAATTAAAATCCTGTAAACAGGATTTTTTTTTCAAATTGTTTTTTTTTTAACATCCAAAATCTTTTTTTTTTTTTTTTAACGAAAAGAAAAAATCCAAAATCTTGGATGCATTTCTTTGATCACACTTTATTAATTTACATCTGTAGATTTGAAATATAATTGCCTTAAAGATGTTACTTTTAAAGTTGCTTTATAAAAGTAAAGTTTATTATCATTATTACAAATAAAAAAAACATGTTTATGTTGTTTTCTCAAATTAATTGTTTTTGCCATAGATCTGTACTTCATTAGCACTTCTATAAACCACATTTTTATTCATGTCTGTATTCTAAATTCGTTTAAAGAAGGATACGTTCATACTGTAGATACTCTGACTGATTTTATTTTAACTTTGTACTGCAAAATCTTTTGAAAATCTTTTTTTTCGTGTCATCTACATTATTTTTTAAATAATTAAGAGAATAAGCAAGATTAAAAAGAACAAGATTTCCAAAATCTCATTCAAAACATTTGACTGAAAATATTTACACTTTGATATAAAACATTTATATAGCGCTTTTCTGGACACTCGAATCATTTTACACTTTTTGGGGGTAATCTCATCCACCACCAGTGTGCAGCATCCACCTGGATTACACAACGGCAGCCATATTGCACCAGACCACACACCAGCCGATTGGTGGAGAGGAGACAGAGTGATGAAGCCAATTATGATATGGGGATGGTTAGGAGGCCATGATGGACAGAGGCTAATGGGAAAATTTGGTCAGGATGCTGTGACATCCTAGGATTTATAACGACCACGAGAGTCAGGACCAATGACTGTTAAAAATATGGACGACGCGACAGCCCCTTTTCCCATTGAACGCTTTGAGGGCAAAACGCCTGCTTGACGGGCGCAAACTGTCGCAAAAGACTGCTGAAATTGGAGCCTTGACATGCGCAGAAGGACTGTCTGATGGAGCCAGAGGAGGAGCCGCGAAAATGAGTCGAGCTTCCAACCAAACGCTTTATGTAAAATCAACCACGCCCCCCGAACTGCTCAGCATCCGTTTGCTGTCATATCAACACAAATGGATGTAATAACCTTAACAAATATGAGGATTTTATATATTTAATCGCGCCAGCTCCGGGCCGCAGCGCATAAGCTACCCGCGGCATCGCGGGCTGATTCCGGCTTGCATGCGGCAGCGCCGGCTCGCTCGGCCGCCGCATCTGGCTCGATTGACTCGGGCTGGAATCGGGCAGTGAGTCCAGACATCCGGAGTAGGTCCAGCAGAGGTAGTCAGTCTGAGCTCTGAGGGGTAAGTCTCCGGCAGGCGAGAATCTAGCCGGAACTAGCCCGAGTGTATTTTGCTATCTGGGTAGTTAGGCGTGTATCAGCAAACTAATAAAGCCCGAAAAAAGCCCTGACCTTAGCGAATAAACAGTGTTCCACCAGGATCATGTATGTCAGAAACTGTAGTTTACTGCTGAACTCATTTTATCATGGTATAATAACAAAGAAATCGAATAATAACACTTCAGTCTCCTGCCAAAGCTCAGACGCGCTGCTTTGAGAAACTGTCAATCACAACTGTCAATCACGATGACACGCCCAGCATTAAATTACTGCTAAAAACAAACTGTTTACAAAAATGAAGATCTGCACCTATTTCAGCACAATAACCAGTGCCTTAATCAACCAGAACCATCTTTCGGGACATTTTATTGCAAGCGTAATAAATTTTTTTATTTGGGCTCAAGTCTCCTTCATTAACACGGAGGAGGCGGGCTTTATGACTTGTACTGCAGCCAGCCCCTAACGGCAGAGACCTTCACTCAAACGCAGGCTTGCGGCACACTTGGTCAGTACCTTGATTTAACATGGTCACTGAGTCCCCATCAATATACTGGGGCATTAGGACCCACACAGACCACAGGTTGAGCGCCCCCAGCTGACCTCGCCTGCACCACTTCCAGCAGCGACTTAGCTTTTTCAGGAACTGACTGGGCACAGCCATGCTTAGCTTCTGTGGGTGACAATGTGAGAGTTGCAGAGAGCTAGCTGTCAACTAGTATTTATTTGTACCTGACTTCATCCAATGTTCAGATTTTTGTGCAGAAGTGTATGCACATGATGAAATAATTAAATAAGGTCATAATGAAATAAAGTCTTATTTGCATATTTTGATATATTTTAGAAAATGTAATACCAAAAATAGAAAATAAATAAATCAGTTTTTAAACCAATATTTCATCCAAAATTGAAAATTTTGTAATCATTTACTTACTTGTTTCAAACCTCTTTGCGTTTCTTTCTTCTGTTAGAGACAATAAAAGCAGCAGCCATTGACATTTAAAGTATTTTTCTTTCTACTATGGATGTCAATGGTTTCAACTTAATAACACTCGTCAGAATCTTCTGGTTTTTTTTCTTCAACAGAAAAAAACAAATTCATAAAAGTAAAGAACAACTCGAGACTGAGTAAATGGTGAGAAGATTTCCTCTTTTGGATGAACCATGCTTTTAAATGTAATCAATCAGCTAGGGGAGTATGGTGACAACTATTATTTGTTGTTTTTTTACCCTATTGAGCTACAGTGTCTTGCATTAAACGCCTCAGCTCTCCGCAATCTGAGATGAGATACGGAAATGGGACTGAAACTAAAAACAAGGATCCTGAGAGCGTGAAAACACTCAATGCTTTCAAGCACAGCCGCTGAATGAAGCCAGCGCTCAGAGAAAGGCCATTCTGAAGGAAATGAGACGTGGCTTTAAGACAAAAAAAAACCTTCTCAGTCAGGCCAAAGAGGACCAGATCTACACTCTGAGTAAACAACTATGCCAGTCTTCATGCAGTGACAGAGCATGATTTTTTCAAATGTGTGAAAACTGAAAAACCACATGCCCACAGACTGTTACAAAGCTATATTTGCATACTGATTTACACTATCTTCAATGCTTTTAATGCAAAGAAGCCTGCTTAAAAGTCGCTAGATGATGTCACATACTAATTAGAATATTCATGACCACGTCTAGCCTGATCTGCCGGAGAAATGCAAGTGTTTCACGTTTTGTCAGTTTAGTGGCTAAGGGGGTACTCACACTATGTACAGTTGCCTTGAACCGGGCCAAAGCACGCTTATCCCCCCTCACGTCTCCCCCGAAGGCCCGCACTCACATTACATTCGAGCATGGGCACAATTACGTCATCAATGATGCGATGTTCAGTAAGCGCTCTCGTTCAGCACAGTGGAGATTGCTTTAGTTATCTCATTTAAGTCGTTTGATATGCACGGACACGCAGTTAAATATTTCGCCGAACAGATCAGCCACTTTTGATGCTCATAAACAATCTAAGTCCTTGTGCTGCAGGAATTAGGAGGTTTGCTGAATGTGCGCAGCTGTTATGCAGTGAGGGGTTTGCGTCTTTAA